AGTCTGAAAATCTTACTTTCTTAAAATATTACATTCCGTCAATCCGGGCTATATTCTAAATTCCTTAAACTCTTACTCTTGAAATATTGAAATCTTGAAACCTCAAGATCTTAAAATTACAACCTTAGAAGTTAGAATCTTACAATCTGAAAATATAAACATCCTAAAGTTATCGAATCTTGACTTCTTAAAATCCTAAGGTCTTTGAATCTTCAGATGTTAAAATGTTAAAATATGAAATTCCTAACTTCTCAAAGTCTTAAAATCTCAGAATCTGAAAAGCTTTCCAAACTTAGATTCTTTAAATCTCGAACTATTGCAATCTGAAAGTCTTAAATTCATAAACAAGTAAAATATAATAAAACTCCTTCAATCCGGGCTATATTTTAAATTCCTTAAACTCTTAATCTTGAAATTTTGAAGCCTTGAAATCTTAGGATCTTAAAATCTTAACTTCCGAAAGTCGCCAAATCTGAAAATCGCAAAAAAATAAAATCTTAAAGCCTTCGAAATCTGATAATGGATGGAAAATGGCTGGGCAATGGCCTGGCTGTTATAACCTTCCCAAACCTTAAATCGTTGAATCTTAAACCCTTAATTCTTAAACCATTGAAACCTTAAATTCCGAAAGTCTTCACATCTGAGACCCTTAGAATCTCAAAGTTTTTAGAATTTTAACATCTTAACATCTACTAATCGGACTTACAGGAAAGGGAAGTGACAGAACAGGCAGGGCAAGGTGCCCGGTGGCCGGCTGTGTCGCGTCAGCGTGTAAATCCGGCCACCGGACGTGATCGGGCCACAGGCCAAGCCCGCAGGGTATAAGGCCGCGCGCCCCATGCCGCCGACCATGCGCGGACCATGCGCGGACCATGCGCATACGTTTTGCGCTGGGCCCGCCCTTATAAGGGGCGAAAGATTTGCGGATTTGTTCAGGCGATTTTTGGCGGCTTTTTGAGCATCTCCTCGAGGAAGCAAAAAACGAGTGTTTTTTTGGGGGTGCCCATAGTGGACAACATCCCCGGCATCACCTGCATCATCCGCATCCTTGGCGGACATTGATGCGGATGATGCCGGTGATGCGGGGGATGCTGGGGATGTTGTCCCCTAAGTCGGGCCAATTTTGCCGAAAACGTGCAACCTGAAAATCTTAAAATCTTAAACTGGATGGAAAATGGATGGAAAATGGCCTGGATTGAAATCTCAATATCCTAAAGTCTTAGATTCTTAAAATCCTAAATTAAAATCTAACAATTAATCTTAGAATCTCAAGATCTTAAAATCTTAGAACTTAGAATCTTAAAATCTGAAAATATATAAACATCCTAAAGTCTTCGAATCTTGAAATCTTAAAACCTTATGTCTTAGAATCTTGAGATCTTAAACTCTTAAAATATGAAATTCCTAAAGTCTTACAATCTTAAAATCTCAGAATCTTAAAAAGCTTTAAAAACTTAAATTCTTTAAGCCTCGAACAATTGAAATCTGAAAATATTCAATTATTAAAATATTACATTCCTTCAATCCGGGCTATATTTTAAATTCCTTAAACTCTTAGTCTTGAAAATTTGAAATCTTGAAACCTTAAGATCTTAAAATTACAACCTTAGAAGTTATAATCTTACAGCCTGAAAATATAAACATCCTAAAGGCTTCGAATCTTGACTTCTTAAAACCCTCATGTCATTGAATCTTCAGATGTTAAAATCTTAAAATATGAAATTCCTAAGTTCTCAAAATCTTAAAATCTCAGAATCTTAAAAGCTTCAAAAACTTAAATTCTTTAAATCTCGAACTATTGCAATCTGAAAATCTTAAATTCATAAACAAGTAAAATACTCTTAATCTTGAAATTTTGAAGTCTTGACATCTTAAGATCTTAAAACCTCAAATTCCGAAAGTCGCCAAATCTGAAAATCTCACAACAAATAAAATCTTAAAGCCTTCAAAATCTGATAATGGATGGAAAATGGCTGGGCAATGGCCTGGCTGTTATAACCTTCAAAAACCTTAAATGGTTGAATCTTAAAACCTTAATTCTTAAACCATTGAACCTTAAATTCCGAAAGTCTTCAAATCTGAGACCCTTAGAATCTCCAAGGTTTTAGAATTTTAAAATCTTAACATCTACTAATCGGACTTACAGGAAAGGGAAGTGACAGAACGGGCAGGGCAAGGTGCCCGGTGGCCGGCTGTGTCGCGTCAGCGTGTAAATCCGGCCACCGGACGTGGTAGGGCTTACCTTCAGGAATAAGGCCGCGCGCCCCATGCCGCCGACCATGCGCAGAACATGCGCAGAACATGCGCATACGTTTTATGCTGGGCCCTCCCTTATAAGGGGCGAAGGATTTGCGGATTGGTTTAGGCGATTTCCGAGGATTTTTGTAGCATCTCCCCGCAGCGTCCAAAAACGAGTCCAAAAACGAGTATTTTTAGGGGGTGCATAATACCGGACTACACCCCAGCATTGCCAGCATCATTCCAAATGATGCGGATGATGCTATGCATGCTGGCGATGCGAAACAAGGGACGGAAAATTGGAAGCAGGCGTGACTGGAAGTCCACGAAATGGACATCAAAGGAATTGCACGAATTTGAGGGGGGCACTGGAGAGAAGCCAAAATGCAGGCAAATGCAAGGTCAGACGAGGGGAACCGAAGAAGGAAACGAAAACAAATTGTGAACGAAGAGAAACTGCGAAATGAAGGGTGCAGGAAACTGACGTGGAATGGGAGGCGGACTGAAGTCACAGAAACTGAAAAGAACAGAGGGGAGGACTGCGACTGACACGGCGAAACTGTCGAAGATGCAGGAAACACGCGCAAAGGAAGTGAGGTTCAAATCTCGGGAACTGATCGGAATTAACGGAAAGGGAAGTGACAGAACGGCCAGGTCAAGGTGCCCGGTGGCCGGCTGCGTCTGATCGGGCCGCAGGCCAAGCCCGCAGGGCTTACCTTCAGGTATAAGGCCGCGCGCCCCATGCCGCCGACCATGCGCGGACCATGCGCATACGTTTTGTGCTGGGCCTGCCCTTATAAGGGGCGAAGGATTCGCGGATTGGTTTAGGCGATTTTCGAGGACTTTTGTAGCATCTCCCCGCAGAGTCACAAAACGAGCACTTTTTGGGGGGGTGCTTAATGCTGGACAACGCCCCCAGCATTGCCAGCATCATCCCGGATGATCCGAATGATGCTATGCATGCTGGCGATGCGAAACAAGGGGCTGAAAATGAACCGGAATGGGAAACGAAGAGAAATTGAAGAGAATGAAGGGATGTGCAGGAAAGTGACGTGAAATGGGAAGCGAGGTTGAAGTCGCGGGAACTAGAATGAACTGAGGGAAAGGAATGCGAATGAAGGGGCGTTCAAGGAAATGAAGGGAGCTGAAGCGGAAATGAAGCGAAAGGAAGTGAAGGGAAATGCCAGGAAGGGAAGACATGCAAAGGAAGCAAAGTTCACATCCCGGAAGCTAACGGGGAATTCAAGGAAAAGGAAATACAACGGGAAGGGTGAGGTGCCCGGTGGCCCGGCTGTGTCAGCGTGTAAATCCGGTCGGGGGCCCCTGACCCCGTGGTCCGTGACATCGCCGAAGGCCTAGGCCCGCAGGGCCTACCTTCAGGTCTAAGGCCGTCCGCCTCTGCCGCCGACCCACCGCCGACCACGTGCCGAACTTTCAAGCTGGGCCCACCCTTATAAGGGGCGGAGGATTTGCGGATTTGTTCAGACGATTTTTGGCGGCTTTTTGAGCATCTCCCCGCGGAGTCAAAAAAACGAGTGTTTTTTGGGGGGTGCCCATAGTGGACAACATCCCCGGCATCATCCGCATCCTTGGCGGACATTGATGCGGATGATGCCGGTGATGCGGGGGATGCTGGGGATGTTGTCCCCGAAGTCGGGCCAACTTTGCCGAAAACGTGCAACCTGAAAATCTTAAAATCTTAAAGTGGATGGAAAATGGATGGAAAATGGCCTGGATTGAAATCTCAAAATCCTAAAGTCTTAGATTCTTAAAATCTTAAATTAAAATCTAACAATCAATCTTAGAATCTCGAGATCTTAAAATCTTCGAACTTAGAATCTTAAAATCTGAAAATATAAAAACATCCTAAAGTCTTCGAATCTTGAAATCTTAAAACCCTTATGTCTTAGAATCTTGCCATCTTAAACTCTTACAATATGAAATTCCTACAGTCTTAAACTCTTACTCTTGAAATTTGGAAATGTTGAAACCTCAAGATCTTAAACTTACAACCTTAGAAGATCGAATCTTACAATCTGAAAATATAAACATCCTAAAGTCTTCGAATCTTGACTTCTTAAAACCCGAATATCTTTGAATCTTCAGATGTTAAAATCTAAAAATATGAACTTCCTAAATTCTCAAAGTCTTAAAATCTCAAGAATCTGAAAAGCTTTCAAAACTTAAATTCTTTAAATCTCGAACTAGTGCAATCTGAAAATCTGAACTTCATAAACAAGTAAAATATAATAAAATTCCTTCAATCCGGGCAATATTTTAAATTCCTTAAACTCCTAATCTTGAAACTTTGAAGCCTTGAAATCTTGAGATCTTAAAATCTTAAATTCCGAAAGTCACCAAATCTGAAAATCTCACAACAAATAAAATCTTAAAGCCTTCGAAATCTGATAATGGATGGAAAATGGCTGGGCAATGGCCTGGCTGTTATAACCTTCAAAAACCTTAAATGGTTGAATCTTAAAACCTTAATTCTTAAACCATTGAACCTTAAATTCCGAAAGTCTTCAAATCTGAGACCCTTAGAATCTCCAAGGTTTTAGAATTTTAAAATCTTAACATCTACTAATCGGACTTACAGGAAAGGGAAGTGACAGAACGAGCAGGGCAAGGTGCCCGGTGGCCGGCTGTGTCGCGTCAGCGTGCAAATATATATATATATATATATATATTCAATATATATATATATATTATAAATGTTCATCGTGCTGTCCCGAATTGGCAGTGCGCTCCGGGTCTCTCGCTGCTGCATGATCGCATCGCGCTCCTTCTGCGGCATATCCTGCACAGACAAACGCTCACCCATGTGCGCCCCGGGTTTGGCAAAGAAACTGCTCTTGGGCGCAGACACCGTGGATGGAGGCCACGGTGAAGTTTGCATCTCTCATCTTTTGCCTGAGAAAGAGGCTCGAGCACATCCAGTGCCAAGTCTTGCTTGTCCCTGTGGTCAAAGTGCGACAAACCTGCCAGGCAGGCGTGAGCCAGTCCACCTTCTGCTTGGTGTTACAGAAAATCACCGCCTGGCCCACCGAGAGCTTGGTCGATAAGCCGCTAAGGCATGTCTTCCCCCCGAATTCTGACAAAGGGTCAATTCTGCCTGAGTGATGGTCAGCGTGTCGTAGAGATCGCACAGTGTGTCGAACTTCCACTGCTCGCGCTCCACAGCAACGAAGAATCTGAGTGTTGCTCACATGTAGCGCGCGGCTGACAGGAAAACCCATACCCTGAAGTTGCTCTGTGCTACTTTCTGCCAGCGGAACTCAAGAAGAGGATAGCAAAGGCAAAGCTCATGAAATCATCAATTCATCACCGCCACCCCCCTCCAGCTCCACCATCTGGAAGCGCTTGCTTCCGCTAAAAATTATCCCTCTGCGCTTTTCTAGGGCCGCAGCTGCTTGATGCCTTCCAGCGTCAGCTCATCGCGCTTCACCAAGACCTCTGCGGTGCAGGCTCCGCTGCGGCCGGCGTTGCCAAAGCTGAATGAAATAAGCATCTCCGGGATTCTATGGAAGCTCCATGATGGCAAACAGGCTTGACTGAGCCTAGTAAGTTGTGCGAAGGGACAGGTCTATTCTTTGACAAATCGGCGCCAAAATACGACTCCAACAAAATGCACGACATGGGCAGAAGGCCGGTTTCCCCAAGCAATTGGTCAGCAATGTGCGAACAAAACGGGGGATCCTCTTGCTTCTGGGAAACCCCAGATCTCCCTTGCTTGTCTCACCCTCGCACAGTGAGCATCCGGGCCCTGAAGGGGTTGTTCATGAACCTCAGGCAATGCTGAAGTTGATGCTGAACATGCGAATCAAGTGAGTTCGCCTTATTGAATCAACAAATTCGGAAGGTTGTTCTCTGGCTAATCCCGGAGCGCAACGACCAAATGCCAAAATAAAATATATGCTTCAAAGCAAGACAAAGGCAGAAAGAGAGAGGCAGGGACAGAGGGGCAGAGGGGCAGAGGGGCAGAGGGGCAGAGGGACAAAGGGGGAGAGAGCAGAGAGGGAGGGAGCGCGAGGGAGGGAGACGTGTGCCATGGTCACAGGAGCAACCAAAGCTCATGATGGCTGCCCAACATCAATCCATTTCGCCCGAGCAGCCATGTCTCTTGACCATGGCACGCATTCTCATGGCTGGCAAAGTGGCGCCGAGTGGCTTGTGCGTCATCTCCAGCACTTCGTGAGGCATGGTGGCTGACACCAGCACCACCTGAAAGCATGGGGCGGAAACGTCAGAATGGACTGAAATTTCTGCAGCAGTTGGGTTAAGGGCCTGCAAACGGCGAACCACCACCGGCCGGTTGGTGACAATTGAAAAAGGTTCAAGGGGAAGAACACGGACGGTTTTCAATTGAAGGACAGACCAAAATTGACAGACACACCCTAGTAGTACGACCGAAAGCCCGGCGAGCTTGTTTGGCTTCGATCGTGATCGCGCCTGTGTGGATGGAGGAAGGTACCGGTAGATGTCGTAGACCTGGCAACTTCTCAACCGGATCCAACCCTCAAGACTCGGAGAACATCCGGTTCCCACCTGACATAGGCAGCGGCAAGCTCTCGAATTCGGACTTCGGACGAGCCTGCTCCTTGAAGCCTCGATTCAACATCTCGTCCGCTTCATCCAAGACCAGCATCTTGATCTTGGCAGGGCGGCGTTCATTCAAATCGCGCACAGCAATGCCATCAATCCCATCCCCTCTCTGCGCGCGGATTCTTTGGCTCACTCGCGCTTCAACGATTGCCATGCGCTGGAAGAGTACACGAAGGTCAGCAGCAGCAGGGAGCCATCGTAGAGCGCATGGCCTGGCAACTCCGGCTTGCATAGGCTGGGGGCGCAAAGGTAGATGAGCTTGCCGGGGCTTGCCGGATGTCTGCTTGAGCGCTCAAGGTAAGACCTCAACCCGACACTCCGAGAGGGAAAGCAAGTCGCGAGTCGCCTGAAAGGTGCCGCAGGGACTCGCAGAGCAGCATCTCTGAGAAGACGACTGGCATCAGCAGAAGCACGCCTGGCCGCAGCAAATATCTCAAAATCTCGCTCCGAAAGCAGGTGTTGTAACTTGTACAGGTTGTGATTGGCTCGGAAGACTGAAAAATGGCTCGAGGCCTTAAACAGCAGACTCTAAACCAAAACAGGACAGAGACTAAAAAACGCAGTGGAATCGACTCTGCATGTGAGCAAGCCTCTACATCACCTCACAGCTTTGAATGCCTGGCCTACGCTGATGATTGGCCAGCCATCCTCCAAGCGCTTCGCTGCCTGGCTAAAGAAATCTTCGAAGCTTTGAGGCAACGCAGCATGTGTGATCCTGTTTGCATCTCTACTCAGCCCGGCTCTTGATGTGAGGGAGGCAAATGCTACTAGCACTGACATGAAAGACGATTTTGCACTCATGACCCTCACAGCATCTTCCGGAGTCGGTGGCAAGGGGAGAAGCCTTCGCAAATCCCCGCATGAAGTGCGCGCAAAACATGTCCTTGACATCCGTGGGGAACATCTGCCATCTGAGCCCGGAGAGCAAGAACTGCAAGGGCCTCCGCAGGTGTGCGCCATCCGAGGAGCAGAAGCCGAGGAATGCAGATCCAGAAGTTCAAGACCTGCGGTTCTCACGTCGCCCCGTCGTCCCCCGTCTCGCCCCGTCCCCGATGAGACACGCTGACCCGAGGAATCGGCCAGCTGCACGGCACCGAAAGCAAACTGCAAGGGCACGTAGGCCACGAAGAGCCACATGGACCTGGGATGGTGACTGCGTGAATGCACAGGTCACCTGACCCCCCCGCCCAGCTGCTTGCTTTCATGGTCTGGTGCGTAGAACCAAGGGTCCAACTCGTTTTGACAACAGAGCCACAAAGGAGGACATCAACAAATGCGGAAATGCTGAAATGCGTTGTGTGGGAGTGCCTTCAAGGCGCAGCCCATGAATCATCACGCAGAGGCCCAGCGGAACACCGTGAACATATCCTGCAAGTTGCCCAAGGCGGGGTGGCGGGGCCTTTGTTCCACTGATTTCTCGCTGACTAAACACAAATCCATACACATCCCATATAGTCTTTGGGCCCAACGGAATTGGATATGGCTGAGTGGGAGCTCCTCTCAGTCCAAAAGATGCCCTTCCTTCACAACCGCCGGACCACAGTTGTCCGTCTCTCAATGACTCCGCCAAAGCCCGCATCCTACGAAGGGCCCGATCGCCAGGAACGAGGCGATGCCCAAATACACGGCCAAAGCCAGAGGCAGCGGTGCATGCTGCGGCCGCAGGCTGTCCAAGAAGTCGGGATTGAGCCCGCCCAAGGCACCTTTGAAACGGGCAAAACGAGCTCACAGACAGCACCCCAGGCCGTTTGCAGCTGGCAGTTCGCTGTCTACACCCCCTGCCGGATTGAGTGGGGCATCGGCTTCCTCCGACCCAAGAGGAAGAGCTGCTCCCTCGAATGAAAGTAATGCTGGTCCCTTCGATTTGCGGTCAGAAACACGGCAAACAGGCGTAGTGGCGATGTACCCATCAATAGGCAGTTTGAGGGTCAGGAACGCAGGTGAAAAATGCCATTCCGCCTTCCCCATCCTTCAGCCAGCGCCACCGATTGCGCCGTGGGCCACACCGTGCAGCACGGTGAAGAAGGAAACGAAAGCTGCCAGCTGCAGCGCAACGGAGGCATCGCCTGCAAGTAAGCGTCAACTCAATTGGAAGCACACATGTCGAGGCGTGCTTTCTTAGCGGGCTCTGGCCGTTGGGGCATGAGTTGCCGCATTCACGCCCTCCACTTTCACATCAGAGCTGCAGAACCGCAGAACTGCAGAACTGCCCGGCCTTTCCAGCGGCGTAGATTGAGTCTCAGGAGGAGGCCCCCGAGAAGGACGTCCAGCCAGCAGCTGAGGCCGTGGCTGGTGAGGCCTCCGGAATCTCTCCCGAATTGAGCTTTAGAACTGCTCCCTCCAACCGAATCGGAAGTTTTCCCCGCAAACTTTCAGGAAGACAGCCATATGCACAAGTCATGTCCAATTTGACGCGTGTTCTTGCAGGCCACAGCATTGTTTGCCACAAAAGTTGCTTTCAATTAAATCATTTAGGATTTGAAGCGCTTGACACAGCCCGCCTGCACCAATGTCTGACACGCAGAAGCCATTCTGAAACCTCAAGGTCCGCTCTGACGGCAACGCATTGAGCACGCTGTGTGCCAAAGCTCATCTATGGTGCCTGCATGAAAATACCTCCCCTGCAACAAACTGGTTTCTACTAGACGCTGTTCCAATGCCTGCCATTGCTGGTTGATTTCGAAAGATGCATTGGTTGTTTGAGCATTCTGCAGCAGTCACCTGCAGACCCCTGAGAAGGCCGTTAGTATTGCCTGCAACCCCAGCCCTGGAGTCGAAAAGCTCCCGATATCATGATATCCTTGCCCAAAAACCAGAGATCTTCGCCGGCAGACATGAACGGTATGACGTTGCTCCCGAGTGATGCCTCATTTCTAGGGGCACCTTCCCCATTCTTTCCAGGGATCCTTCTTTCTAGAAAACCTCCGGAGACCCAGGGAAAACGGCCGGTTTTTGGAAAGAACGATGGTTGAAAAGAATGGGGGATCAAACCCCTTGAACTGATGGTATTTGGAGTTCCACCCTGCGGGAGAACGGATATCGAGCAGATTGTCAAACTGCAAGTTATATCCCTATGTTCGGCACGTGATGTTCGGCACGTGTTGTTCGTTCTTCGGCCAGAGAAAAGCAACCGGCGGCTTTTCAGAGGTTTTGTCTTGTCATGAAGTCTTGCCTGCAAAGAGTCGAGGCTCGAGTGAGGCGTGAATGTGAAGCATTGTCCGAAGCAAAGCCTTGGAATCCTTGAGTGAGACTTTTGGGGAAAGCAATCCGTGCTAAATGTATGCTTTGCCTAGACGAAACGCCCAAATGAATATACCTTGACGTCCCGAACGAAATGCACGCGTTACATCCGGGTTTGCCCCCGGCTTTAGGCGCCACAGAGACACCGTGCCGAGCCACCAGCGTGCGGAGCTCCAGCGCTGGGGGGACCACAGGTCGTGCAGCACCTGAAAGCTGGCCAAGCCGTAGCCACTGTAGCCAAGCCATTTCAAAGCGAAGAAAGCCAAAAAACAAAAACGGCTGTCCCGACGTAGCCCGACGTAGCCCGACGTAGCCCGAGGTGTCTCGAGGTGTCCCGAGGTGTCCCGACATCCGACATCCAGGCGCCACCAGGCAGTAGACTGCAGTCAGCAGCGCTGTGAGCGCTTCGCAAAGCACTGTCACAAAAGCCGTCACCATGATGAGGCGGCGATCAGCCGGCAACGCCACTTTTCTGCGTAGACATCTTCTGTGATGAAGACCAAGGACTTGTCTGCCGTGAGCTTCAGAGGGAAAAAAGAACAACTAATCGGAACATGTCAACGTGCTGCTTCAAATTCTGCTGCCCCCCTTTTGTGGCCGCTAGGCCGCTAGGACATGGTTGCTTTCCCCTGATGCCTCGAGTTAAGTACTGAACCTGAACCCTTGGCCGGAGAGCGCATTCGCTCTCCAACATTCAAAGCCACATGCCAGAGCGATTATGAGGCGCGGCCCCTTCCAGCGCAGCTTTTTCACCTTTGGCATATCCCTGTCACATGCATCCAGCGCTCTTGGGCGCTGTCACCACTGCTCAAGGCCTCTGGCCTTTCTGGCTGTCCTGGCCACACAGAGGCAAGCGACAAGCCAAGACGCCGAGGCACACTCTGACGCCTGGAGGTCAGCTGCCGCTGCAGGAGTAGTACGGAATCTCCTTCCGACAGGGAGGCACGGCCGCAGATCAAGTGATGTGCACATCGTTGGGTCTTGGACTCCCAGCCTGGTTGGTGCTCCAGTGCAGGACAGCTTCGGTAGAGGACACGACGGCCAACCTGCAAGGCCCGGAAGGGCCGTTGAGTTGTTGCTGGACTCACATGTCACCCAGAAAACTTTGGGGCAACGCAATTGAATCCTGGCGATCCAGCAAGATATTTGGAAGAAGACCCCGAAAAGCAGGGATTGAAGACGTGATGGTCAAGCCTCTGCAATCTGATGCCTGGAAGAGCTGAAAAGTCACAATATTCACATACAGACAGGCACACGCACACGCGCCCGCAGGCACGCACGCGTGAGAGTTCGCACGCATGCCCGCCCGCCAACCCGCATGCCCGCCCGCCCGCACGCACGCACCCCCGCACACACACACACACAAACACAAACACACACACACACACACACACACAAACACAAACACAAACACAAACACAAACACAAACACAAACACAAACACAAACACAAACACAAACACAAACACAAACACAAACACAAACACAAACACAAACACAAACACAAACACAAACACAAACACACACAACACACAACACAGACACACAAACACACAACACACAACACACACACACAAACACACAACACACACACACACACACACACACACACACACACACACACACACACACAACACACACACACACACACACACACACACACACACACACACACACACACACACACACACACACACACACACACACACACACACACACACACACACACCACACACACCACACACACACACCACACACACACACCACACACCACACACCACACACCACACACCACACACCACACACCACACACCACACACCACACACCACACACCACACACCACACACAACACACCACACACACACACCTTCCTTGCAAAAGTTGCATGTAACTTCCCAAGTATGGCAATCCCTTCCCAAGACATCACTAAGCCGCACGAAGAAGCCGTATCGCAGCCCCCTCAACTCTTGTCATGGACGCCTCTTGCAATTGTGGAAGGCGAAACCAAAAGAAACGTTTGAAAACAAGGAACTCCGAGTGGAAGTGATCATTAAGGGAATCAAATACGTTTTTGTTGGTGCTTAAACTCTGGCACCCCCCCAAGCAAGGTTCGTGTCCTTCGAACGTCCCTTTCCAAAATAAGGGAATCCCTAGTTTTCAACACCCAGGAATCCCAAGGAACACAACGCGGGCAAGCCAATATCTCCGGAAGGCGATTAGGCGAACAGCCGAGGCGCAGCAGCCCCAGCACCGACAGAGCCAGGTCCAGCTGCCACTGGCCACCCACCTGTTGCCATGTTGCCATGTTGTCAGTTTCCCAAATAGCCAGGGCTTCCTGTTGGTTCCTTTTCTCCACAACGGGTGCACTTGGATGACACACCAGGTGTACCACAATCCATACTTCCTGTGCCGGGCGCCAAACGTTGGGGCTTTGTCTGCACTTGTTCAAGCCAGCATCCATATTCGCCACAACGCAGCGATGTCTCAAAGAGTAATCCTCATCTGAGAAACCCGAAGGAGCGACATCCCCTCCCCAAGCCCGCCAGCAGGTGATGGAAGACTGGTGGAAACGCCAAGGCCTTATGCGCCGAACGACGTCCAGGACTGCGTGACTGCGTCTGCCCTTCATGCCCCATTGCCGTGCATGCCGGAAAGTATACCGTCTTTCAATGTCAGAAACGCCCTGAGTCCCGGGAGCACCATGGCCACGCCGCACCTGAGCCTCGAGCCAAAGGAGCGCAGCACAGGCCGCCCACCAAGACCACCAAACTCTGAAGCCGCGAGGCGCTGAACAAAGCAACCAGCCTCGGCATCAAGGGTTTTCGGACAAAAATGCCTTGCTTGTTGACCGGTCCCGGCCGACAAAAACCAAAAGGTAGCATAGCAGGCATGGCCGCATGCTTATGCCAGTTTGGGTTCCAAACAGGTCCCATCTCTTGTACGCACCCACCACATGCCCAAGTAAGCGGCATCGTCAGCAAAACCAGGCCAGCCCGCAGCAGGTCTCGGTAAACCTGCCAGGCCAACCCGCACAGACTTGGTCTCTCGCGGAACATCTATATGTGCTGTTCTGCAAGCTCCTATGACCTGCAAGTGCCGTTGCAAGACTCCTTGGGAATGGTCATTGCCCCGGTGTACAAGAGACATCCGCGGGACTTCGCCTGGACTGCGGTGCCGCCATCTTGGCCCGGGCCTGCGCGAGAATTCGGGTGCGCGAGTCAAGCCAACCTGAAGACTCGCTCAACTCTTGGCTTTCAAGAGACCAAACCCGCCCTTTTGAGGCATCTTTCAATTTTCGGCATCCGGCCTGGAAGCAGGCGGTCCTGGCATCCATTCGGCGAGAGTCGCTGTTCTGTTCAGGCGGCTCTCTTCCAACATGCGGCTGGTCTGCCGGTCGCCATTGGAATCAACTGCCTTGCTACCATCAACTTCCCAAGAGCATTCATGGCCCTCTTCCACCAATCTTAACATGCGCCTATCAAAACCGGCAGGAACAGAACTTGGTCTGCGCAGGAATCAACTGAAACCCAGGCTCTAGTCAGTCAATGCTGCTTTTTCCAGCATCCCTGGCGAGAGGCATGCCCAGTCCTCCAAAAGCCGAGAGACCGGATGAAGCACCAGTGGATAGGTGCCTGCGATTCCGAAGGCAAAGCTTGGATCACTTCAGACCCCCGAAAACGAGAACGGTGATAGCGAGGCCTGCGGAAGTGGATCCACGTGACGAGCCCGAGAAAAGCCCAAAAGGGGGGAATCCCGCCTGCTGTAAGCCGTAATGATGAAGAAAGGACGCATAGTGAATGCAAGCTGACCAAACGGCACAACACAAGCAAGCGATAACTCTTTTATCCAAGCGTTGTGTTGGTGCCATGGACTCATCTTCCCTTTCAGGAGTTCCAGGTTGGGTGGCTCTCCGTGCCACCCAATTCAAAATTCCTGGACAGGAAATTAACCAGTGTGCAGACTGATTGCGCCCCTGGGTGGGTCCACGCTAAGGTCGAATGTATCTCCATTCAGGAGACGCGGAAGAAAGGTAAAACCTTCACACAGCTCCGGATCCTGTAAAATCAGGGTGGGTTAGTTCGTCCGCCCACTCATTGAACTCACGAGGCACATGATTGACTGCCAGAGAGCATCCATGCCCGTGTAGCAAGAGCACCAGCTCCATCAGGATAGCCGCGGTGTAGGGCTTCTTGGAACCAAGATTGAGCGGGGGCCCTAGTATTTCCAGTGCCGCAATTCGCCGCTTGGGATCCCCATCCTTGAATGCCCAGGGGTGCTCGCCCTGGTGGATCTGCTCGTGGAACCAGAAGACCGCTGACTTGTCCGGTTCCCTCCGGTTGGAGCACCATCCCCCCACAAATGCCAGTCCCTGGTCTGAGGCGCTCGCATCACTGCACCCCCACCAGGATGACTTGGGCAGATATGGGGAGCTGAACGAAGGGCGTGTTCAAGAGCAGGCGCACATTTCGGCCAGCATCCTCACCACCTTATGCCGGGGCGCCGGAGGCCCTGGGATGGGGGCCCCTGTGCTGCTGCCGCGTGAAGCCAATGGAGACCGTGGGTTGTGCGCTCCACCGTCTGGTTCCGGATGATGTCATTGGCCCCCCCACCGATCCATCATAGATGGTGCGGACCTTGTCTCCTTCAATGCCGGCTAGGGGACCTGGGCACAGATCTCCAGGGCTACAATCGCAGCCCATCTCCTTGGACATGGGCCCTCCACCATGCCCACGAAAACCTCTTCCACGAAGGTGCGATGAGCTCCTCTGGGAAGGGGTGTGACCCTTCCCCCACTGAAAGTGACTCCTGAGTCTCTCTCCCAGGAGGCTGTAAGGATGCAGATCTTGGCGCCCACCGATGCTGCCTGGGACAAGGGCCTCGTCCACGGAGCCAGTCTGCCCAAGGACGTTTCTGAGGGGGCGTTGTTTGAAGGCCATCTGCAGTGTGATCGGCAGGATCGTGGGTCTGTCCACGACCCCCCTGCATTGCTGTGCCCATTGCTGCAGGGACAGTTGGCACGGTGTAGCCTCGATCTTGTCCTCGCCCCGCATGACCTTGTCATCCTCCTGGTGGTCTGATGCCGGGTGCCCAATGTGAGACCTGCCAAAGCCTGTTTCTCGGGCACAAGCGGTGGATCAGTAGAAAGAGCCGTGGCCTTAACCACCACTTGGCCAAGGCGGCACTCGTCGAATTTGATGAGAGAGTGGTGAAGCGAGTTGGCCCACCCGATGTAGGCCCTCGTGACCCATATTGATGAACACCTGCCTGCGCTCGGGCTCTTGCTGCATTCCATAGGATCCATTGGGTGTTCCAAGAAGGACGAGCCCACTTGTGGGATGGTCCTCCCACCCAATCCCTGGTAGGCCAGGGATGTGAGGCATGAGCACACTGTCATTGTCCGTGTCCTCCACTTGAGAGGGTCTGTTCCGACCGCTCACTGGCGGGGGCCCCCCGGTTTGGGAAAGCACCTGAGGATGCTCCATGTTCTGCAGTTGGTGCCGCCGCCCACAAACGCCCTGGCCATCGAACACATCGTGGAGAAGGGTTCGTCCGCCAGCATATCATGTCCCGGGCTGCCCCCTGTTCTCCTGATGTCCACCGCCCAGATGTACTCCGAGATCGCCGGGTTGTAGGCGTGGATGTGGGCGTCCAGGGCCCCAGTCCTCCTTGCCCGCATACAGCAGAATGAAAACCGGCTTGGCAGAATCCTGTACCGGATGTTGAACCTCGTTCATCCAAGGGAAAGTGGGGTTGGCCTCCTCCTCCCTTCTGCGGAAGGATGACTGCTTACGCAGGGTGGTTCCCTTTGCGGCTGCTGCGTGGTCTTGTCCCTCCCGGATGCCCTGGCGGGGGAGGGGGGAAAGGATGCTTCCATCCTTCCGGAGTGGCTCACCCTCGAGAAGTCCCCCCAACCTGAAGAGGACGCTTCCGTCCTTGTGGAGCCTGGCTGGACCCACTCCCAGCGGGCTGCTGGGGCCGGAGGCACCCTGGAGAAGTCCCCCCCCACCACCGGTAGCATTCTTGGCCGTCAGGCTCGTTGCGTGCGCTCTTCTTCCTGCGGGCCTGCCCTGCCTCCGCTGTGTGCTGTCCAGCACTGGTGGGAGGGACCAAGCAGCCACGGGGCCGGAGGCACCCTGTGGGACCGCTTGTCACTTCTGGACTTCCGAAGCCGGGCAGTTGTGGGACCGTCCACAAGATCCTTGGCACCGACCAGGAGGTGGTGATCCTTGCAGTACGCCACCCCTTTGGGATTCTTCCAGGCCCAGTGCCTTTGCTCCCTTGCCCTTGGGCTTCGAGGCCCAGAAGGGCCTTTTCCCCCCTTCCAGGGGAGTCTTGCCTTTGCTCTTGCCCTTCTGAGGCGCCCGGTTGAGGTGCTCCCGTTGCCAGAAGAGGAAGTCACCCTTGATGCTCTTGAGGGCATCCGAGAGATCGGTCCCTTGGTGCACCATCTCGTGGATCTTGCGCCATGCGTTGCGCTCCGCGAAGAGCAAGGTGGTATCACTCGGGGCCGGTTTCCTGCCCGCGATGTCCTCTCCATAGAACCATGCATACCACTCGCCCAGCTCTTCTTTGGTGATCTTCAGATTGCCGAACTGGGGCAGCGCCGCCGTGCACATCAGCAGTGTGGTGCGGAAGGTCATGTGCAGTCTCTCCAGCTGCCTCCTCGAGGTAGGGTGGGACCTCACCTCTTCTTCGTCTTCACGTTCTCACCCGTCAACAGTGACCTTCTTGTGTGTGTGCTCGCAGGGCGTTCTCCTTCTTCCGGAAGAGCGCTCACTATGTGCTTGGCAGGGATATAGCCCAGCTCACCTTTGGCGATAAGTCGCCATTGCTTCTTGAGGTAGCTGTCACTTCCTTGAAATTCCAATCTCGGTTTCGGGGCTCCATGCGTGGCCACATAGGCATCTTCCAATTGGCGACGATCACAGAGGACCTGCATCGGTGCCTTGACGCCGCCTGACTTTCCGGGGGGGCCCCTTGGTTGCCACCCCTGACCAACTGCGTCGCCACCCGGACCGCCTGTAGCCGTAAAGGCCGACGCGCGGGCGTTGAACCCGTTGTGTCCATCTCCGAAATTCAAATCACGGTCGGCCAAGTCCTCCACTGTGACATATCCGGACTCCCCCAACGCGGCCTGCACCACCCAAGGGATTTCCTTACCCACCAGGATGGCCGCTAGAGGCTTCTGCAACTTCGCCACATTGTCCCTCAAGCCCGCTGGAATCTCTGGCACAGCCGCCATGAGCCCTAGCTTGGTGTGGGTGGGCAAAGCTTGAGCCAAAATGGCATCCAAGCCATATTGGCCAAGCATTGCCTACACAGTACATGTTTCCACATGTTCCAACATTAAACAAGTGAATGCAAGCTGCAACTCTTTTATCCCAGCGTTGTGTTGGTGCCATGGACTCATCTTCCCTTTCAGGAGTTCCAGGTTGGGTGGCTCGCCGTGCCACCCAATTCAAAATTCCTGGTCAGGAAATTAACCAGTGTGCAGACTGATTGCGCCATTTCCGAAGGACACACACCCGCCATTTCCGAAGGATGCCAGTCTGTGCTGAGGGCTGACTGTATACACGGTTCGGCCGCCAGGGCCGGAGGCACCTAGGCTTCACCAGGGAGTGTCACAATCTCTGTCTCCGACTGGGTCGTCCGTGTCGGAGCCTGAGTCCAAATCGGAGTCAGAGTCTTCCTGAAGGGTAGGAACCTCCGCCGGCTCCAGGAGCCAGCCCTCCGGGAATCCAGGCCCCTTGAAGCAGGTCTCTGGCTCTGCGACACACCGTCACGGAGCCTGAATTTTTGAGGCCGCCTTCAGTTCCACAGTGTCGCTCGTGTGGACCAGGTCTTGTGTGGACGTGCTGGAGGTCGTTGAAGCGAGCACTACAACCCACCTGGAATCTGGCGAACCGCAAGATGAAGGCATCGAGCAGTTCGTGCCTATTTTTCCGGAACTGTCTGAGTACCGGGGCCGGAGGCACCCAGGTGCTCATTGCCAGCCCCTTCCTCCAGGGCCCAGATGACCTCCTTGCTGGGGACCACCGCCTTCCGTTGCTCCTTCGCTTTGAGGCGAGTTCATCCACGTTCAGCATGCCAAAGGTCTTGGAGTACCCCTTGAGGGTGTTCCAGACCTGCCTCAGTTTGTAAGGAGTGACCTCCTCGTCCGCCAGCTGGTTGAGGAGAGAGCGGACATGCCGCCATGGAGTCACAAGCCCCTCTTCCTGAGGTTCTCGTATGCTGCCGCAGCGTCCGGAACCTAGTGTCCCCCAGCAGGTCCAGGGCCCCCAGGATGTCCTTCAGGTGGGGAATGTGTTCCGCAAACGGGACCAGGTGAGCCAGAAACGCTCCGCCCACTTCCGGAGGTGCAGGGCCCGCTGCGTCGTGGGCTCAATCTCCCTAACTCTGCTGGGCCGCCAGTGGCGCCACTTGAGGAATTCTGGTTGCTGGAGTGGGGGCGGGTCGCTTCGCGAATGCCATTGCTTGATCCTGATGGTCCCAGAGTGCTTCCAGTGCGGAAAACTCCCCACTGGGCTTGCCCGCTGCCGCCGCGTGTAGCAAATTCCACACGCTATCCCACAGGTCCGCCAAGTCATCTGCCGACAGTGGTTGAGGAAGGCGCCCTGCCGCTGCTGTGACCAGGCTGTTGAAATAGTCCGACGGAACCAGGTGGTCCTCCGGTCCCTGCGGACCAACATCCGAGAGAAGATACCTGCGTACCTCCTCTGGGGTACCGTGACGCAGGCACATCACAACCATCAGTTCCCCATCCGGGGAGAAGGACTCGTCAGACAGCGTGTCTTATAAGACACGCGGGATTCGGGCGTAAACGGTGGCCTCATACGAAACCGGGTTGAGACCCTGGTAATGACATCTGAACCTTGAGCCATCCTTGAGCCATGCAATCTCCTTGCCCTACTGTTGCAACGTATCATGTGCAGTTCCAAGTGCAGTGGCCGGCAGAGTGCAGTTGCTTGCAGTGCGCAATATCTGCAGGCCTGGCAGGTTCAGATCCAAAGAACGTTCGGATCCGTAGTGCAGAGCGGGAGAGAAAAAGGGGGGGGATCCCCAGACCCAAGAGCCCCCACCCAAAAGCAACAGGAAAAACAAGAAAAAGAAAAAAGTGGGGAAAAGGGGGCCGAACCCCGTCAGAACCGCCCCACCGTTCGCGCCGCCTCCGTTACTTTTCTCCTCGGTCGGGGCAACTGGAATGGCCCGTCAGTGGGGCACGGCATGCCTCAGCAGATGTCAGCGAGTCAAAGGGAGGTCCGGCCGGCGCCTCCGGAGTGAGAGGGATCCGAAAAGCTCAAGGGGCAAATCAACCAACCCACATCTAACACCAAAAACCAACAAGCCACCCCCACAGGACGGGGCCGAGGCACCCGGTCCCATGGGGGCGTTCATCCGAATCCTTGCGTGTCTCCGGACCCGGACGCGGGAAATGGAAAATATTCTACCCCCTCTCAGGATGGCCTGAACTGAAGCGCAGGCGGGGGGTGCTCGCATCTCCCAGGACCAGTCGGGGGGGCTCCGTGGGCTCCACCCTAAACTCCATTCTGTCCTTAATTCACTGGTGAAAGAGCTCATCCACCACCAGCTGAAGGCAAGTTGCCTTGTCCCTGTGCCATCCGGTGATCTGCAGCAGCCTTGAGCCCCCCCGGCTTCTTCCAGAAGCCGCGGCAGAATCTGCACATGTAGCCCCCCGTCGTCTTGAATTTCTCCTTATTCACCACCTCCCAGGCACTGATCGCCCGGAAACGCAGCGCCTCCTTGCTGTCGTGGATGGGCGCCACTGGCAACTCCATAACCGGGGTGGGCGATGAAGTTCTTCGCGGCCAGGAAGGCGCCCATCTCCTTGAGGACGTAGGTCCACTCCGCCTTGTTCCTGGGCTTAGGGATGCCCAGGCTCTCGACGAAGGGCACCGCCTCCTTGCGCATCTGCAGGATATTGCCAAGCCACTTGTCCGACGTGCAGCCCTCGCTGCGTCTTCACCACCAACGGGAAGGTGGCCCACGCCGAGTAGATGTACTTGAAGGTGAATCGGTGAGCGTAGACCCCCGTGAGGGTCGGAAGATCCCACGTCCGAGTCTGCCTGCTCCAGAAGACCCCCTCGTGCTCGGCCCAGAATGCCCCCACCACCTGCTCCGGGGGGGGCGCTCCCCACGATCCACCTGGGCCTTGATGTCCAGGGATGTGTAAATGACGGGGTCAATGTCCTCCGTGCTGCGCGCGCACGGGTGCGTCCGCTTCTCAATAGCCAACAGCTCCCTACGAACGCGGACCAGCTCTTCAGCCTTTCGCCGGACTGCGTTGATCACTGGGTACGAAGATGTTTGGGCTCAAGCCGTGACGTGGCAACATCTGTTTGCCGAGGTGGGTAGCTGATTAGCCATGGCCTTTTCAGATGGAACTTCTCTGCCTTATTTGGGGTGGGATGGATTTCCTTTCCTCGACGAGTCCTTTGGTGCCCGATTGAAGGCTGCGGTGTTGGATGCCATTTTTTGGTATGCGGAGGCTGACCCTGGGGCTTCCCGTGTCAAGGTGGCGCTGGAGGTCAACCATGTATTACCCAAAACTGTCGATGGTACTTTCGAGATTCTGCCATGCAGGTTTACACCGGATTCGGCGGTGCATTTTGGCGTTGGATGGTTCCTTTGGCCACATGTTTTCTTGAGGAGATTGCTACCAGAACAGCCTGGAGCTGAGGGTCGGTGCGTGTGGTGGTGTTTCAAGGCATGGAGACAGGTCGAAATCTTGTTGTGCAATGGACCTCTTCGCTGGCGGTGGTTGGTCTTTCGGTGAGCATGTGCATTGGCGACGGATTGTGAAGCTATTCGGCTTATGTGGCTATCAGATGATTGCGGAAATCTCAGAGGGAGTTCCGACGCTGTCAATATGCAGAGACTCGGCAGAGTGGACAACATGGCCCCCGACTTTGTGAAGGAGACTGTTCCGAGGATGAGGCTCGTCTGTGTTCGGGAGAAAACTCTTCAGGCGTGTGCAGTGTTGGATCATGAGTGCAGTCATTTCCTTGGACACTCTTTGGCGCTGAGCAAGGATCAGGTTGAAATTGTCCTCGATGCAGGCTTGCTTCCTATCTGGATGAGGACTCCTGGTTTCAACTTGCAGTATTTGCTTGCAGTCAGATGTGTCAGCGGACAATCAAATCTGGCCCCCATCATGGCTTCCTACGGCCGGAACATCTCTTTTCAAAGGGATTACCTCGTCAAGAAGGGGCTTTTCCTTCAGGTGGTCCAGACTGACCAGGCACTGCGGTTGCTGTCACCATGTGAGATCGCTGTAGCGATGGGATTCCCATCTGGGCTTTTCCTCAGCCAGGACCTCTTTGAGGCTTTTCAGATGCGTGACAATTGCTTTACACCGATACATGCAGCTCAGGCGTTGACGAGGCTTGCCCGTTGTTTCCACTGTCCATTCCCGAGTGAGGATTTCCCCATGTCTGCTTCTGCTACGTTGAATCTGCTTCTCAAAGGATGCTTGAGGGCAAAGTGCAAACTGGTCTGCAGTGAAGGTTTGGTCAGGATTGTCAACACAGGCTTCGCCTCGACGGTCACCTCCAGCAGCAGTTCCGCCTTCTTCCATGGATTCCTTGACTCCCGCAACTGCTGGGTGAAGGGGATGTACTTCTCCTTAATGTCCCCTGCCGGTGGCAGGTCCCCCGGGTCCTGCAGTTCCAGGGGACAGAAGAGGCCCTTCTCCAGGGAGGGCGTGTCGTAGTTCCGCGGGCCAGACCGATACATCCAAGGGGGAGAGGGGCGGTTCTTCATCCAGGCTTGGTTGGCCTCCTGGATGCGCCGGCGTGATCGAGCCCATGGCCTCCCTGAGCTTTTCCCGGAACCGCTCCAAGTTCACCTTCCGGAGGGCAGAGGACCCCGCGTTTGCCACCTCGTCCGCCGGCACGGCCTGCATGCCCTCCTGGATCGGGGCCAAGACCGCCACATTGTCCAAGAGCTCATCCGTGATGGTCTCCTTGTGCAACTTCCTTGCCGCAATCTCCTCCGGGGCCAACTCCCGCTTTCTGGCAAGGATCTCCTGGAGCGCGGCCTTCCGCTTGATTGCCGCATCAATCTGAGGGCGGTAGAGCTTGAAGCTCTGAGCCTCCGCCTCCTGGAGGGACCTCTGCACCTTCACCCGCACCCGGTGGTCCTCCTGGATTTTCGTGGCCTCCTCATCCGTGTCCATGGTGAGGATCTCTTGCCTAATATCCACCCGCTTGTCCAGGGGGACCACGTCCGCCATCGTGATCTCATCCACGGAGTCCGTCTTCGGCGGGGGCCTCCCCCATCCACCAGCTTCCCGTCCGCTGCCTTCCGGGATCCGCCGGGGCCGGAGGCACCCCGGCTTGCCGTCCAAGATCCGCAGGTGGTAGATGATGCCCTCGGACTCGTAGGTGGCCGACGGCGCCTGGTATGGAACGGACTCCACGCCCCGGGCACACCCAACACTGATTGGCCGCCTCCGGCCATCCAGTGCCGCACGACTTGTACGCCTCCAGGATGCGGAGAACCAAGTCCTCCGTGAGGCCCTTGCCGACAAACTTATGGAAAAGGGACCCCGCTTCCAACACCGTTATGTCCCGCAGCAAGGCCGCGGCTGAGGCCGGCAGCAATGGGAAGGCGCCCGGGAGGCCCACCACCTTGAAGTAACCAGCCTTGTTCGCCACCGGCTCGAGGGCGACTAGCTTGTTCTCCACCGCGTGGCTGGGCTTCGATGCCGCCACAAATCCTCTCATCTTCTTGGCCGGCGGGGCTTTGTCGTTGGGCACCTCCTCGCCCATATCCACGTCACCCTCGTCCGCGGGGCCGGGGGCACCCTTGTCGGACTCGGGGCGGGCGAGCCTGAACTGCAGGCGCTCCAGGGCCTTGGAGAGGCCGTCCACCACATCCGCTGCCGTGCCTCTCCGGGGGGGTGGAAGGTTCCGTCAACACCAGGCCTGCGGCCACTGCTGCCTCTCGGTCACGCATCTCCTGCGCTTCCTGGGCGGCCATCGCCACATCCGCCTCCGTGATCTGCTGCTCTTCCACCAACTCAAACGAGGATACGGTGGACACCGAGGAGGCCATTGCAATGGGTGCGTTTTTGTTTTTAAACTACTGACCGATCACCAACCAAAGGCAAAGCTTGAGCCAAAATGGCATCCAAACCATATTGGCCAAGCATTGCCTACACAGTACATGTTTCCACATGTTCCAACATTAAACAATTCAACAAAACTCGACCGACTATCAAGGCTGTCCGGGCATCCGGCACACCAGCGCGAGGCAAAAAAGGATCTGAGAAGCCAGTCGCTTCTGGCCACCCATCTGCAGATTGAACCTTGGCTACACCCACGTGCTGAAGGGTTGGGGGAAGCACGAGCAAGCATTCAACCCCCGCCACCCAGAAAGGATTCAGCTTGGAGAGGTAAAAGATGTGGCTGGCACAGAAGTGAAACAGTGACGAAGAACAACTGCAATGGACAGTCCCTCGACACACGCCTCAACTCAAAGGTGCATTGCCAGCTTTGAGTGACTGGTCTTGAACGGGATAAATGGAAGCGACCCAGCTCGGCGTCTTTGCCGTGTCTCTGAGGGCGTGGCAAAATGACTGTCCGGGTGGTTGGACCAAAGGAGAGATAGGCAGCGCCAGCAAACACGATAAAGAAGCAACACCTCATGGGAACGTGCCAAAGGAGCAAGCTTTGGAGCTCGGGAGTTGGTCAAAAGCAAGGTCCCCCATGCAGGACTTGTGCTCAAAAGAACAGCCTTGGACACTAGGAAGAAACAATGCCGATCAATCCAGATTGGAACTGCCCAGGCAAACATTTTGAAGGTTTGCATCAAAATTCCGCAGTACACCCTTGGGCCCACTAAGACAACATCCGGACACCAAGCCCTCCAAGAACCTTCTAGTGGGACTGGGGCTTGAGCAGCTGCTTTGTTACGGACCAGTGGACCAATGACTAAGCTGAGCCATCATGCCAGCATTGCGCTTCAGGCGTGAGTCGTATGTGCAATCCGCTGCAATTGTATGAAGCACGGTTCGACTCGGGCGAGCGTTTCGCCGGGTGGCATGCCCACCATGATCCAGGTCAGCGTGCCCTTGAACTGCTTCCGGAGAGCAGGCTCCGTGCCCTCGTACATGGGCAGCACCAGGCCGATGCCTGCAAGGCACACTCCCGCGGTTCGTCGCATGGCGCACAGGATGCTCGGATGCTCCCTTGAGGTCCCATTGTGAAAAGAACGAGGCTCTCACTCGCCCGCCTTCAAACGCAAAAGCTGCAGTACCCAGACAAAGAGGGTAGCCTGAGATCGCACCACACATGTTGATGCCTTTTCCATCTGCATCCTCTGAATCCGAACAGCAACACAGCAGAGAAACAAGGAGGCGCAGGGCGCAGGATGCCTCATTCGGGAATTGGCCCCTTCCCCAGTCCTACAGTCCAGTGCAAGCGGCTGTCCATCCTCGCCAAGGGGACCGACCACGACGGCGGGTGATCTGCAAAGTGCTGGGCCGCCGCAGCCAAGATCACCTCAAAGCGAGTCAGATGCTCCTTTGAGCTCTGTTTGGCCTTTCGGGAGACCTGGTGAGGCCTGCCACCTCTTTTGCGATGATTGAGACAAATATCAGACATGGCACTTGTTCTTTCCGACTTGGCCACTGCATTCCACGGTTCTGCGGCACAAAACAAAGAATTGTACGAACTGGACCCCGCCCTGCTCCTTCCTTTCCTTTATTCCTTCCATCTTTCCAGTGACGTCAGGCCGCTGCCAGGCCCAGCAGGATGCAGGCGTCCGCCACCAAGTTCAGGGCTGAGAAGTGCTTCAGCCTTCGCACCAGCGCCAGGGGCGCCCAAACCGCCGCCAGCAGAAGGCACAGGGAGCGCTGGCTCATGACCTGAAAAAGTTGGCCGAAACCACGCCAGTTGCGTGGGCCTCGCTTTCCTTAATCTTTTACCTGTTATGGTTGAAACTAGCATTCACTGGGACTCACCTAGGCTTTTGTCGCCCACTTCCCCGCAACTTTGTGTCGCCGGATCTGATTGATTTGCCCCTTGAGGCACAGCAAATGAATATTGCTCCAGCTCTGGCTCTGACCGTCTACCCCTCTACTCCGTCCCTACTTCAACAGCCAAACAAGGCGTGGCGCGTGGCGGCAGCCCGCGAGGGTCCCGAGCACCTCCGAGAGGTTGGCACTGACGAAGAGGAAGTAGGTGGAGCAGAAGCCCAGCTGCGAAGCAGCCAGGGAGACCTCCACCAGCAGCCGCCCCACTCTGCCCAGCGCCGCCTCCCCGATGTCCCCGTAGGATGGCAGAAACAGCTTGGGCAAGCCTTGGTCCATGTACTGCGCCTGGGACGAGGCGGAGGCCATGGTTTTGTACGCCAGCACGCGCTCCGCGCAGTCGATGAGCAGACGCATGGCCACGGTGAACAAGAAGCACACGGCGGCCAATGTGCCCGCGCCCAGCAAGAGACCTCCGTTCAGAAAGCTCCGTGGCAGGTACAGCACTGCCGCCCCGGTGAACGCCTTTAAGATCATGAGGCTCAGCTGCGACGGCTCCGACACCCCGCCCTTCAAGTACCCAGCCTCAAACAAAACGCGGCGATTCGACCAAGGCGCCACTCCGTGTATGCTCAAAGACTTCCACGTGGTTTCTGCACAAGAGCAATATGTCTGTTCCCGTCTGCATCTTTAAGACGCCCCCCAATGTCTTGCCAAGTGACATAGAATGGCAGCAGTGGCGAAGCCAGGCGCGCGTCCAATGTGTCCTCCTCCCGCTGGACCCGCAGCATGTCCTAGCTCCCAAGAGGCCGCTTGCTTGCTCATAGGCTAGGTCCAAAATCTGAACGATGCCGAGGGAGGCGTTTCAAACAGGGAGAATCTGACATCCTGCTTCCCTGCTTCACCTTTCTTGCCCCCTTGCTCAAAATCTGGAGAAAACGCCAAATCACCGCTCGCTCGCCTCCACAAGAGGCCGTGACGACTCGTCCGCCAGGCCCAGTTGCCTTTGGAAGAACCGCCGGAAGCCGCCTGGAGACATCCCCCTCCACACCCCACGCGCCGCCCAAACGCTCCCCCTGCTTCGTTGTCCATCAAAGACAAGAAAAGCTGCCGCTGTGCTTGGCAGCATCGAGTTTTGCTATTCAGGATGAGTCATGCATGATTCCACTAAGCATTGCTGGTTACATCGTGCAAACATCAAGGGCGCTGCTAAGGGACGTTGCACCCTGTCGGCGCCTGGCTGCGCAATGTCAGAGGCAGTGGTCTCTGACGTCCCAGTGCCGTGCCTCCGAGCGAATGATTCCTTCCTGCAACCTTCCCACTCCAAACTTCACTGGCTGCCTTAAACGGTTCACACGTACAGCCTCAGGTCTCAACATGAGTTTCATGATTTCTTGGGCTGCACCCCCCTTGGGTTCTGCTTGATCCATCTTTCAGGGGATCCCCGAGCCCGCCGAGCCCGCGCTCTTAGGACCAGCTGCCAGGAGGGCACCCGCGCCATCGTCGAGGCTAGGCGCTGCGCCGCAACCCCCACGTCCCGCGTGGCATCGCTGTGTTGGCTCAGGACCTCGTGAGAGCCGATCGGGAGGCCGAGCGCCCGGAGGCCAAATGGCCATGGGTCAAAATCCAAATCGTACCCCCAGGAACATCCCAATCCCCACTAAAATGGGTGGTGCACCTACCCCAAAATGGTACCATTGGTTTTGACCCACAGCCAAATGGAGATCAATGTGAAAGGGATGGCTTCGGAATGGGGCTCCCACCAATTCTTGAATAAATCATTTGTTTTCAGTTGATGCCTCGAAGATCCTTGTCAACTGCGTGTCCAGTGATGTGGACACATGTCGTGACCACCTCTCCGCCTTCCGTTGAGCCAAGAGAAGTAAGCTCAACACCTCAACTTCCCCGTGCCATGGGAACATCCAGCCTCGTAGTTGATCGGCTCCATGCTCAAAGAGCCGGAGTGGCTGCGCGGCTGCGCGCTGAGGCACGCAGCATGTTCGTCTGACCCAAAGCGCCGGTGAGGCAACACCGTGGACCCCAAGTCTAAGAGGTTAAGTGACACCCAAGGCCATGCATCAACGGAGTCTACCCGTCTACTCCAAACCTATGCGGGGTTACAAGGAGGCCACTTCCATTTTTTGCCTGGGAACGCCCCCTCCCGCCCCACGTTCGATATGCATGTTGTGTTGCTTGCTCAAGCGACCCTGACTAACATTGCGATCGCAGGGACGAAGAGAGCCGCACGTTTTACAAGTCGGCAGCATCTGCGAATACGTTCTTGCGAATCCAGGCTGAGAGCCTTGGATAACGCGGTGCAGCTGGTGTTGGAAGCGCAAAGCTCAACACCAAATCCAAGAAAGACCTCACGCAAGTCAGTCCTGATGCCTGCAACTCACAGCATGAGAACATCCTGACCCGGCCTGTCCGGCTCAAACGGCACCTGCTGTCTGTTGGGCGGCGTCAGAGCGCTCTCAGCCATCATAAAATTCCTCAGGCATTTTGGAACCCCAAAGGGCCCAGGAACCACGAAAAGCAAAGCACGAATCTGTTTCTTCTACTTGTCCGACTTTGCGAACAACTCATACCAAGCAAGGGGGAAAACTCTGCGACTTTTGGAGCTGGAAGCTGCCAGGCAGTCACTTTTTTCGTCCTGTGCCCCTCTACATGTTTTCAGAGCTTGGAGGCAGAAGAACTGGAGACCCACAGTATACAACTCCAAAGAAAGCAAGCTGCGTCGTTGGAAATGTGGAAGCCTGAAGTTTAGGTTCTGATCACTGCAAAAGTCTCAAAGACTTACATCTCCGAAGCCGAGAGTAATGCTCAAGATTTGAAGTGCAGACAATCTTCAGATTTTGCTAGACTGAATGGTTTTGGGTAAAGGAAGTCAAGTCTAAAGATGCAAATTAGCAAAGAAGATTCAAAAAAGCTGTTGTATCCTCTTTGCTTTCAAACAGGCTCACAAGGCTTAAAAGCCGAAAACCTTAAGCCTGGGGGCTGAGTGTGTCACCAAAAGGCGAGGTCAGAATTCAACAGCAAGAGAGCTCAGAATAGAGCATGTTTCTTTAGACAACAATGCACGATCCCCCCAAGCTCTCAGTGTTGCGTGCATGCAGCAACATGTGGCAAGTTCTTCAAATGCCACTCGATTTTGCTTCCGGAAAGTGCGCGGCCACCCAACAGCAGAGGGGGGACCGTGAGTAAATTGAAGCGCCGCCCAGTGCCCCGAGGCAAACACCATTGCAGCGTGTTCTCGCATTGGGTTGCTCGAGCCGTGAAGTGCAGAAACTGATGTTGGCGAGCCGTTGCAGTACGTGCACTTCAAGTTCAAAATGGATTGCTTCCGGGTTGCATATCTTGGGACTCTGCTCGAATCACAAAGACTGGACTCATTCGACTGCTTTCAGGGTTTCGAACACAATCATCGCCAGGCGTCACTCGCATCAATAGCCTGCACTCCTTGCCGCCGTCGGCGACGAAATACATGCCTGATCGCACCGCACAAAGTCAAACGAGAGTCTGAAAACGCTTGCAGCGCCTCAACGGACAAATTCAATGCATCTTGCCAAAACAAGAGAACCTTCTTGGCTCGGACTGAGCCTGTAACTGAATGCGTTTCTGACCAACTCGTCTCACCACTTGCGTTGAGGAGCCCTGGCTGCCGGGCCAGCCCAGGTTGAAAACCGCCGCGCCGCCGGGCTTCAGCTGGCCCAAACTCGGATCAAGAAAACAAGCGAGACAAGCAACCGGAAAAAAAAAAGAAGAAAAAAAAAGGGGAAAAAAAAAGCCCAAAGTCCTTTGCTTGGACCAAATGCAACGCGCGACCACAAACTCCGCAACTCCGCACGAGCGGCAAAAGCTTCAGCTGGTCGCTGGAGGGGTCCATGGAGCAGCCTGCATACAGCACGTCGAACGTCTTGCCCTCAGCCTTCCTTAGAGAACCAATGCACCGCATGCTCTGACTCCCAGGCCCCCCGGCCCCCAGGCCCAAGCCGAGCGACCACTTCTTGAGGTACTGAAAGGCATCTCCTCCCAGAAACTCAAATCGGCGCTTGTCGAAGGGCGTGAAGGGGCAGTCGCCGCTGCTAGACAGCATGTTCCTCATCTTTTCAACTGCCGGTGGCACGCACCCACACAACAACAAGCGCGTTTGTTGGGCACTTGCAACTACTCGCACAAATGCGTACAATGACCCACATCGTATTGCAAGTATGCATGTGTTTGTTTCCAGTTTGTCCTGACCTACGGAACATTGCATTTCATTGCATTGCAATTGCATTGCATTACATATAGATGCATGTGCATGAAGCGAACAGGTGCCATGAGATCCAAAGCTGCACGCATCTCGCCTTCCTTTCCCGCGGGCCTTGTGGCGACTGCCACCTTGTCCGGCATGTCCACGCCCAGCACCGTGGCCGAGGGCGCGGCTGCCAGCATCATCGCAGCCATGACCCCAGACCCGAAGCCCAGGTCAAAGACCTCCGCGTCTGGCCGCCTCGGGAAGGTCCCTATGTTGAGCATGGAGATGCATCCCATGAAGCCCTGCCCGAAACAACCTGGGAAACCTGAAGCTGCCCGAAACAACCTTTTTTCAAATGAAAACCCTCAACTCCAAGCGAGGGTGACTCGACAATTGCCCCGCACGCTCCCCCGCATGCCGACAATCCAACGGCGCACCTGAGGTATGGCAGCAGCTCCTCTAAGGCTGGCATCTGTACACTCCTCAGCCCATGCTGTAGCCGGCTGGTCGCGTCTCATTGGAACGAGGGGAGTTGAAGCCCAACCAATGGCGAGGTGGCAAAAGAGGCCGAGCGGAGCAAACCACGCTCGGCTTCAATCAACAATGGCTTTGCTCCGACAAGCACTTGTAGCTCCCCTTAAACTCACCGCACTCAGTCATGTCCAGCTGAGTCTATAGCAGCCCTTGAAAATATCCTCTCCCCCAGCTATGGCACCTCAATGTTTGGCCTTTGGCGACCCATTGGCAATGGTCTTTGTCTACCAACTGTGATGACTAGTTTTCTGCCACTGAATGCAGCTTCTAGAGCAAGGGGTCAAATCATCGGTGCCGATGGGCAACGGACACCTGGGAAGTTTTCCGCGTTGCAGAGAGGTCGCCCTCAAAAGAGATGCCGTGCCGTGGAAACCTGCCTGATAAGCGAAGCCCGTTGTATGCTTGCACGGATCTGTCAGGAGACAGGATCATGAATAGACGTGAACACCACCGAGCCGTGCGTGGGAACACTCTTGTTCATATACTACTTCGAGTGTGTCAACATGGCACCAGAAAATTGAAAGCCCACGAATCCCCACAAGCGACTCTCGCAACCACCGAGACCGAGCGGCAGCGCCGAGATGGTGCCGCCAGAGGCCGCCTCTTGCAGCATGGGCCTGTTCTCACGGACCTACAGCAAAGGCTGAGGCCGTTCAACGTTGGAGATCGCCCTGCCAAGGTCTCAATCTGATCAATTCCCCGATTTCAGAGAAGTGATGGGCCATTGTCAGCCTTGCGCGGTGAGTATCAGGCCACTTCAAGCAGTTTGCTCTACATGTGACTCAAGCTACGGCTGTCACCGCTGAGGCACGCTGCTGTCGCCGCCAAAGTGCCGGTGCAGTCTGCAGAGGTCTGCCACCGGCAAGCTGTCTGTCGAGAGCACTGCGCGCTGACTGCCTGACTCACAGCCGCGTATCACAAAGACCCATGCCATGCAGGACCCCTGCCCCAAGGCACAAGATCAGCGTGAGGCTTCGCAAACCATCGTCACGCTGCAGAGTATTTCCAGTGATTGACCAAAAGCGTGATGGGCGTGCCCCTGATAGTGCTGGAACCACCGAAAAAAGAGCCTCAGACCCAAGTATGTTAACATCTTTTCGGGGGCACGTCTCTAACTTAAGCAATGTTTACTTGTCAAACGTGAAGTCTCCAAAATGCGGTGTCTTTGATTGTGGCCACGGGCTCCTTCATTTGGGGTCGTTCGACTCAGCGCTTGGCAAGAACGTTGGCTGAGCTATTACATCGTTGCGTGGAAGGGGGCAGCGATTCTTCGGATTAGAACTTTAGTTGTTCTGTCGCCGTCCAACTGAACGTTCCTGGACAGCGCTGTGGGAGTGGTGTGGGAAAACACATTGCTTGTCTTGGCTTGACGTGCCCAGCTCCCAGCACTCAATAAGTTACATTTGGGGTCTTTGCCCAAATAGGCTCTGTGGGCGCGGCGGTTCCGAGAAGGTTCCCGCGGAAGCGTGGAGCCTTTCCAAGTTCTGGCGACGCCTGTTGGGGATATGACCTGAGCTTATTTGGGCGTCCCCCTCCCTCGGGTAAAGCATGTCCACACTCATTGCAAATGCATGTAATTCATTCGGATGGTCGTGAGGGATGCAAATTTATTTTTTATCTATTATACATCTACATCAGTTTTCTATACACTTATTGCCTCATTGCAAATACTTACTGTAGACGGTCGTCAACTTGTTCGTCCCTTTCCCCATTTTCTGTGGGCTCCGGCCCACGAGGCACAGCCCCAGCGCCAAGGCCAGCGGCCGCCGACTGTGCGCCAAAGCCGCCCGCAGCATTTTCAAAACGCGGTTGACACGGGAAAAACCTGGGGAAAAGAAGCAAAGTAGAGAAAAAGGGGAACAAGCAGGGAGCCGATCTGGATCCTTGTTCCGGCGTTTGCTCCGTTTCGCTCGCCCGAGCCATGCGGCTGCGGGACTGCGGGACTGCGGGATGCGCAAAGCTCAAGCCTGAGATTGCCGAGCGCCGTCAAAACAAATTTGACTTCCGCACAACCTGAGTGGGAGAAAAGAAAACATGCGTCTTGGGGGAAGAGATCATGGCTGCGTTCTCAAAGCATGCTGGCATCCTAGGCATCCTAGGCATCCCAGGCACCGCGCATGCCGGGTGCTGAAGTGTCGCTGCTGGATCATGTGGAAGACACGTCCAGGAGTTCCGGACCTGGAACCGTGCGACGTGACTTGCGACTTGCGACTGTCCAAAGCCAAGCTCTGAGCCACGCATTCTGTGCCAAGCAGGCAAACGCCAATCTGAACGGCACTGAGGCTGCCGCACAATCTGGACACCGGCCTCAAAGGTGTGGATGTCATCGGACACGCGCTTGCCACCGATGCACACGTGGACCTGACGACAGGTGCCTGGTGGCCAAAGGGCTCAAACCATGCAGTCGGAAGAGTCGTCTGAGTCGGAAGAGTCTCAGTGTCACTGAATCACTGCCTTGAAATGGAAAAACATCACACTGCCGGAGCTGGCATAGCCCACCCAACCCGCGACCTGAACATTCAGGTAGTCGCCAAGCGCCAAGCACACCTCGAGTGAGGCTTCGCGCTTCACGCGCAGTTCCGGGCTTCGAGGCAAAAGGCGAGCCTCGCAACTCGTTCCAAACAGAGGGGCCACAAAGCATGTATCATACGAATCATAAATTGGCTCGTATTCTTGAATCCCAGCTTACTTCAGAATGTGTTGGACTTTGCTCGCTCTGAGCAGCGTGACTTTCTGACTCTGCTCGGCCAGCTCGCGAGTCGGAGACAAGAACAGCGCCTGCAAAAGCCATCGCTTGCGCTGGGAATCTTGCATCAACCGGCAGAAGTGCTGCTCAGCTTTGCTTTTGGCTGCTTGGCTCTTGCTTGGAATCGTGCGCCGGTATGCGCCGGTATGGAGAAGAGCTCCTGCAGGTGTCGCCCCAGCCTGCGGCTCCCGCGAGGTGGTGTCCACCTGCTCGACTCCGGGTCAGCTCACGCGTTGCAGCGGCCACTCGAACGCGTTGCGCCAAGGGCCCCAAGGTCCGGACGGTTTGCAGCGCCCCGAGGGCGAAGACGCAGGTCTTGCCGGTACCGCTCTGCGACTGCACCTCGTTTTGCATGTCCCAAATTTGCAGCTGGCAGGCTTGTTTTTGAGAACCAACATGTCCGGGCAATTCACAAAGCTCGGAGCTTCCGATCCTTCCAGCCCGATGGCTCCTTCTGGGTTACACTGGGAGGCGCGCGATCACGTCGCGACCCTTGAGAATTGGCAGAATTGCGCCTCAGCAGTCTAAAGAGTCTTGGAGCGAGCCCATGTAATACTGTAAATAGGTTCCAAGTTCCCCCTCAACGATAGACCCGAAGTGATGATTCTGAGCCTGCAAACAAAAAGGGAATCAAGGGCACATCGACTGCCATGTCGCTTTCCAGCTCCGCTAAGACGCTAAGACTCCTTCTCCATTTGTTCGGCCGAGGCTGCAGCGCTGCTGCACGGCCGAGGGCCTCTCGAAGCCATAGGCATAGACCTCAGAGACTCAGCTGCTGGCCGCCTGGCCCGTGCCAATCCTGTGCCAATGAGACCTTCGGGCGTTTGGGCTGTCTCGTTTTCTGCTGGCATCTTGGGCATCTTGGGCCCGCACGCCACGCAAAAGGTCCTCCTTCAATCCAAGCCTGTGGCATTTTCGCACTCTTTTTTTTGGAAAAATTGCCTCTGTTCTCCGTTTCAACCAACGTGTTTCCTTCTGCGAATGGCAACTCTGGACAAGCAAACGGCTTGTTAGGCGGCACCAAGACAAGCACTTGCCTGCAAGCCTTAGCAACGGCCTTTGGGCTATAACGCGCCAAGCCGCGCATCGAAGGTCGGCAGAACCTCCACATCCTGGCTGACGCCGGCTGGGATTTGGCGTGTGCCGAGCTGTCCAAGCAACTCCAGCCAGCTGCACAGCTTCTGACCAAGCTTGTGAAACAACAGAACGCATTGACATGTGGATGGCAGTTTTGAAGTGTCAGCTTGCTTTGTGAAGTTTCTGTGGCCCAGCCCCTGGCTCACAGTGCCCTCTCCTCAGATGTCTCGAACACCAGGCCCTCATCGCTCACGCCCTGGTGACCCAACAGAACTCGCTCAGAGACACTACCACGAGATGCTAAGCTTCACCTGTGGACCTTTCACGCGCAGAAGCCAAAGCTGGGCTGACATAAAAACGAGCCAGCTCTCGGCCTTCGACATGTCGGCAAAGAAATCCAACCGGTTACAGGCCCCTCAGCCCTTGAGCCCATACAGATTTCCGCACCGCGTGCACGTGTGCTTCGTCCACCAAAGCTCTTCACACCGCTCCACACCGCTTCACACCGCTTCACAACCAACCACATTCACATTCATGCTGTGGCACATGCATCCTAAGCCGAAACCCAGAGAGCCTTGGGCCTTCTCAGTTCCCAAGCGCACGAGGGGTTCTCTGCCAAGAGGACCCTAGGCTCCTCCACGCGAGGCACCTGGCAGTCTGAATGCTCTCACGAACTTACAAGTACAAAAACTGTGCAGTATGACCATTCAAAACCGATCAAGGACAATGACATCCTAGGCGTCGTTGAACTCCGTGGAATTGGGTTGGAAACAAAGAGGAACGTCTCACTGCTGGCCATCCCAGTGACTGCCAACATGCCTGAGCATTGCCCATGAGTTGGAACGATGTGATTGGTACAAACGGGCTCGTGCCATATGAGGACAGTGTCACTTGTCCCCTAATTACGCTATTAGTGTGAGCAAAAGTCTGGTGTCTGGAGGGAAGCTCTGTTTGTGTGTGTGTGTCTGGATTCGGATCACCTTAGTCTGGTCCTATTGGGGTGGCTTGAGAACCTCCCGGATGAGATGCCCCCTTTTTCCTATCTGCTGCCTGATCCTGCAAAAGATCACACTAGCGCATGAAGCCATCGGCCATATTTCTCAGAGCCATGGCTACCAGTCAGTCTGCCACAAGCTCTGCCACAAACGCTTGCCTCCCAACTGGAGGACCGAACTTATGCCCGAGCTGGCTCTTGCACCCCAAGCCCTAGGAAAGAAGCAAACTGGAAAAGCAAGAGGGTCTCCAATGTTGGGACCAAGATGTGTTTTGAGCATTGGGCCCTCATGGAAAAGCAACTGCAATCAGTTGTTCATTGACGACTGAAGACCACACAGCGCACGAGCAAAAAATACAAAACACGACACAAACAAACAACAGCAACACGACCGACCAACCAACCTGCCAGCCAGCAAGCCAGCCAAACAAACAAACAAACCAAGAAAGGGACCGCGGAGCCACAAGCCTCCGAGCGCTCGTTTTGCTTTTCCTCGGCGCGGTGTCTTTTGCACTGGCCAGCTGGGAGGCTTTGCTCAATTTGCGCTTCCAGAATCCAGCGGAATCTCGCCTGCACGCTGATGAGTGAACCCACCTAACTGTCCTTACCTCATTTCTGATCAAAGACAAGCACAGGCAGCACAGGGCGAGTCACAGGACTGTCAGCCTCCTTAGCCTTGAATTGCAATCCTTGCCGATTGAATGCCTGTACAAAGACACGGAAACCTCCAGGCGGAAGAGGTCAATGCAAGTGGCCCGCAGGCACGTGGGCTTTCTGCTCGCTTGCCGCAACGCTCACCTGGCACCGCTCAGCAGCACGAAAACCAGGATCTTTGGCATGCGGAACCTGGACAGCTGACGTCTGACCACATCCGCCATCAGAGATGCGGCTATCCAAACCCAGGACACCCCCAAGCGAGCTCCGCAAAGCGCCCGGCATGGCAGCGATGAGGAACTGGGGGAAGCTCACCCTGAAGGAACCAGCCTCGGAGGCCCATGCGACCAGGCAACCTTTGGCCGAGTCTCGCTCGCGACTTCCGTCGCTGTGCGCCAAGTGCACCGCAACTCACTTGGGTGTGGGTCAAAAATGGGTACCCCAAATGGAACCCTAGCAAATGGAGACAGGGACTCAAACCTGCGGTCTGGTGAATTCATTTTGACCCATACCCACCATACCCACTTGGGCTCCGGGCAGTCCAAGTGGCCAAAGCCAGCGGGATTGGCATCAAGGCCTCCGTGCCCAGTCCCAAGCTTCACCGACACGAGCTGAACTGAACTCAAACCAGTCTGCTTTGGATATGACCGAATTCGGAGTTGACGCCCGGATCCTGGAAGATCATAAGGAACCCGGGCGAACAATGTGGTCGGTTGCCAAGGCGGGGAGCAGCGCGCGTGGGACGAACACACTGACCAAGCAAGAGCTGTGGCCAGGGTTCGTTCCAGTTCAGAGGTCGAAATGCAAGGTGAGGTGAATGGCAAATCGAGTGAGTCGCTCGTGCTTTGATTGCGCTTGAACGCTCAGTGCGCGGTTTGAAGGTAACAAAGAACACATTGCACGTGCTGTTGTGCAAGTATCAGGAGCTTGAAACAATCTGAACATGTCTTCCCAATGCTGGGATGGCGCAGGCAATAATGCAGGGGATGGTAAAGATGAAGTGTCAACAAAAGTGCGGCAATGAGTCCATCTTCCAGGTATATTCACAGACTGCTTAACTGTGCAAGGAATGTTCAGCCGTCCGAAAAGCACAGCACGTTGTTTTGAAGGATCAGACAATTCGCCCCAGTCAGAGCCATCGTCAGTACATGGGCCGCCGGGCAGCCATTGCCACTCCCACCGCGCCCTTGCGCTGCATCAGCTCGGGCCTTTGGGGGGAAGGCTTCCTTGAAATTCGGCCCCAATTGTAGCTGGGAACACTGCTGAAACCCACTGTTGGTTGGTCCACAATCCAATTTCACAATGGGAACTTTTACGGGGTGCGTGTCTTGGCACAGTAGATAGTAGCCTTTTGAGCTTACTCAAGCACAGAATCCATCTGAGGCAATTCTTGCCAAAAAAGGTCTAAGGGGTCTAAGTCTAAGTTTCTCAAAAAGAACTCCGAGTGGCGGCTTGCTCGAGGATTTTTCTTGATGTGTTCTTGGGGACTACGGGAACGGGATCCGTTTTCGCGGCCCGCGAGCGAGTCGGACCTTTGGCCGCCCGGCAGCCATGGCTGGGAGTCCGAGAGCCGCTGCAGCCCGCTCTGGTAGCAAGGCACCTTCGCCAGGCTGACGCCTCGGCAAAACTCCCTCGATTTGTCAAATGAAGCGACAAATAGACAACAAGTAGAAAACAATCAATGAATGACGCTTCTACCACATTGTTATTTGCATTCTAACAATGAGACAGCATTGAATAGACAAGGTGAGATGTTGTGTTCTGCATAACAATGAGACAACATTCAAATAAGGCGAGACAAGGCAGTGGCAAGTTGAGTCGACCCGAGAGAGTCCAAGCTCCCCAAGCTTCCCAAGCTTCCCAAGCTCGAGCCCCCTGCCTGCGCCGTAGCCCGCCAGGGCAGCAACGTAAGACCCGCACGCCTTGCAACTCAAAGCCTTCGTCGCCCAACGAAGGCCGTCGAAGACTTCCCGTCAGAAAACCTTCAGAATACAAAATGTTCCACTTCCCTTTTCTTCCCACCGGCCGCCCCCAATTCTGGGAACCGAGTGGAGACCCCGAGGTTCTGGGTTTCTCTGGGCGCCGCGCGCAGACGCTGAAGACCAGGGCCTTGGGCACCGAGGCCTTCACGGCCAGGAAAATCAGCGGCACGTAGGTGAAGGGCTGCGGCCTGAACCCGAAGGCCGACTTCGAACATTTCCGTCCGTAACTCGAACATTTCCGTTTCAGCATTTCAGGCTGAGCCACGGAATTGCTGAATTGCTGGGCTTGGCAAGTTTGCCTTTGAACACTTCTGAGAATTCTAGGTCTTGGTACGGGCTCGGAAACATGCATCGACACATCAAGTTTATGCCCTCTGCACTTTCTGCGGTCTCAATGTCACTTCGACTTTTCCCGGCAAAGGGCTTGGCTCTCAACACAGGGTGACCCTCTCCGCGGGTTCTGCGTTCGTGGAATGGGTCGCATTGGAACGGCAACATACAGCTGCGCGCACTTTTTGCTTTTGACCTTCAATCACTTCGCTTGTTCAACCCTCTGCGAACTATCTGGGCAATCTTCAAGTCGTTGTGTTCTGCATGTCTTATTTGGCTCGTTAGATCCTGGGTCCAACTTTGCTCGCGATGCTCTCTGCATGCGTTCGTCACAACCAGCTTGCCTAACCAGCAGCTGACTGGCTGACTGACTGGTTGTCTGATTGACTATCGGCTAAAGCACTAACCAACTACCTAACAAAAAGACCATGTATGATGACATCAAACTCAACTAAACTACAGGACGGACCAACGAGAATAACCGTTTGGCTAACTAGCTACCTATCTACCCATGACTCCCAAGCTAACCAACTACCCCACTAAAGTCACACGACTGGCTCTGGCTCACTGGCTGACTGTTTCACCAACGGACTCTCTCGCAGGAAGAAGCCAATGAACGATCCATCGTCCCAAGAGAACGATCCGAACGATCCGGACTGGGAGTCTGGGCAATCCATCGCCGATCAGCACCGCGACAAACAGCCCTGGCAGCCTGGGCTGTCGCAACGGCTGCGTCTATCTGACAGATCCACGGCAACCGTTGAAAGCAAAGATTGCCCGGTGACATTGGCCCCGAGCCCTATGGATTCAACGGAACATGCCCTGAAGACTGCGCGCAGGTGCCAAGCTGATGCCATAGGGCTGCAAAAGAAACACAAAGGCCTCTCAAAGGACTCCCGCCAGGCAGCCCTATGGCATCCATGAGCCACTTGGAGAAGCTTGTGATGCTCTCCTGCAAGGCGGCCAAGGGGCAAAGTGATGCTTGAGGCGAAAATTCACTTTGCGCTCTGGAGCCATGTCAACGCAGCTCGTCGCAACATCCCAAAGCAATAGCACGGACGACGACGCATCTGACCTGATTTCACTGCGCCTTGGCATAGATCTCCAGCAGCAAGGTGGCTGTCACAAACACAATCCTCATGAAAGAGGAAATGCAGAAAGAGCTCCGCTTCTTTGCGTCTTGTCTGTTCTCTCGCTCTCTCGCTCTCTCTCTCTCTCGGCCGCCCGGCAACGTGACGAAAAACTTCAGCCCGAAGCGCCGCCAAGGGATGGCGTGGCTGTCCTGACTCGGGCAAAACACAGCGGTGGCCTTGCGACTCCCTGCGCTCTCCCTTCTTCATCGGGATAGAACCGCCTTCCGCCGGGTTTTCAGCACCGGGTCCTGGCTGTCCTCCACCTGTCACTCGTACAGGCATTTATGTCATTTATGTCATGTCCATGCCTATGCATGCATTGCATGCACACTAATATGCACGCATTGATTGCATTGCAAAACATGGTGTGCATGCTTTGCACGGAGCAACTGGTGCAGCACCTTGCATCTCGTGTTTGGTCCGTCCCTCTACCCACAGCCGTGCCTCAAAGGCGGCCATCTCTTCCACCTATAAAATGAAACAAAAAGCACATGGACCGAAACCGACGTCCAAGTGCCTCATGGGAGTCTTTGCCTTCGACCTGGGCTCTAAGGCATAACTTGTGATCAATAGCTTGGCTTGAGGCTGGGGCCGTCATGTCAGCGTCCTCTTCTCTGTTCTGCCTCAGTAAACCATCGCAGGGCCCATGAAAAAAGGCTCTGCCTCGCGGGCACCTTGCCCGACTCGGTAAAGGATGGGTGAATCACTAAAGCCTTTGCCAGACTTCACCGGTGTCCAGCCAAACATCCCGTTCCCAATCCCAAATACTTGGGCTCGGTGGCAAATGTGCTCCAAGCCCAGCGGCTCGAGCAGCGGGTCAAGTCGCACTTCTCGACCACTCAACCTAAGCGCCCGACTGTCTGACTAGATCTCTTAACCTCAAGTTAATTCAAGATCCTAGGAAAACCATCCTAGCTTTCCGATGAGTTGACAAGCCACACTGGCCATCAGTAAAACCCGGGTGGCACACTCTCGGCATACATCCTCCATCCATGCTCGGGCGAGATGCAGCTAGGAGCTGGACATGCATCGCTAAAGCAGCCTGAATGCGGGCTGAGCATCTTTTCGGGTCCGGCTTACGTCATGTACTGCAAGAAGCAAGTGGGGTGCTGGCAATATCAATGTTGAAGCCTCCACCCCAGCCCGTATCGATATTGACAGTGCCTTCAGTACCTTTATATACAAAGTACTTCGTGGAAGGTGTCCCACGAGCCTGACAGCAGCCAATAAGAGACGACTTTATGTTGATGATTCACCTTCAGAAGCAACGACAACGGCTGCCTCAGAAAGCACGCTAAACAACCAAAAGGCGCAAACTGCCAAAAACGACAATCTAAGCTTGATTTGCCTAAAAGAGCTTGAACCGTGCTGGGTGCTATGGAGCAACTCAGTCACAGGTGTCTCAAACCGGCCCAGCTTGCCGTGCCTGCCCTCCAATCACTGCATGGCAAAGTGTTGAAAGGAATTCTGCGGCGTGCAGAGCTGTCTGGTCAAGGCATGCTGTTCAGGTGATGTATCTGTGCTTGTCTTGACAGGTTGCCATTGCCCTCATAGTCACTCATGTCTGAAAAGCTGCGGTGCAAACAGAAGTCGCTTTCTTTGCACGTCCAGGCCTGTCGGAACAAGTTCCCAAGCATAGGTTGCATGGTGCGCAACCCCGATGTCGGCTTTTGCTTCCCGCCGGAACACAAAGCCCTTCTTCAGAGTTGCCAGCAGCCTCGCTGCCAAAGTCGCTTCTTCGCCCAGCCTGAGGCCGCTAAAGAGGGTCCAAGAGACGGCAGCATGTCTGCCAGAAGGGTCTGCGAGTCTAGGGTCCGGTGTGCTCAATTTGCGTTTGCCAGACCTGTGGCTTTTCCCAAGACACCCGAGCCAGTGGCGCCCCCGTTCTCTCCGGGCAGCACCCTCAACACATTTCAATGCCTGGCTCTGCAGCCTGGTGGCGCGCAGGCGCGCAGCGCCGCCTCCAGGGACAGCACGTTGAAACCTCCTGTGCCCTGCAAGACCTGGAGCGCCTGGCGACCAGGGCTCTGGCCGATATGTTGCAAAACAGATTTAGTCACACTATTTGTTTCTTATGAGATAAGTATGCGTGCATTTATGTATATTATACATATATATATATATATATGTATATCTATGTATATTTATTTATGTACATCTTTATGCATTTATGTATATTTATGTATATTCTATTTAAGTATGCGCGGGTTTTGGGAGGGGGGGGGGTACCATATATATATATATATATCAGATACGCGTGGCCCAACCCGAGCCTCGGACCACTGCTGGGCCTGCACACAGCAGCGCATGGCCTCAGAGCCCTTTTTGAGCAGGTGATTGGGCAAAAGGGGGCGAAGGCCCTTCAAAGGAAAAAAACGGAAATCACCGTGCTGAACGAGCCCGATCGGTCCGAAAGTCGCCATCTTGCCACGCCATTCCCGAAAGTCCAGCAGTTCAGACAAACCTTCTTCCGGCTCTGCCTCTTGCCTCTCGTCTTCTCTCATTCTCTCTCCGTCTCTTTCTGACTCTGTCTCTCTCTCTCTCTCTCTCTCTCCCTCTCTCTCTGATGGCAAGACGCAAAACCCTTCTAAACACAAAGCGCGAACCTCTTCACCCTGAAGGCCCCCGGACTGCAATGCGACTTCAAAAAGAGCCAAGTCGAACAAAGTGAGGGCATCCTCTTGAAGCTCCACCCTCAGAATGGCAAGAAATCAAGACAGACCAAAGCCCCAAATGATATTTTGAGAGGCTTCACAGCACTTCACGGAATCGATTTGCCTCTTCTCAACCGCCACTCAGATACTCTCCAAATACTCTCGCCACGATTCTCCGATCCGTCCGAGCTGCGGCGTTGAAGCTCAGCACATCCGGGCCCGGCACCTCGCGGAGCAGCGCCAGAGCGGCGGCCCAGGCGCCGGCCACCTGGCGAAACGACTCCCAAGCCCCGTTCCGAAAGGCAGAGGGGAAACTCGGAGAAACCAGGCAAGTTGCAAAGTGGCCGCGTGGCCTCATGTCACGGCTGCATGATGTGAGTGTATGACTGAGCTGTGCCGGGCTGGGGTGACACAGAGGCTAAGCTCCCGCTCAGAGCTCAGAAAGTTCAGGGAAGGGTATCGGAACTCTGGTGCGCTCAGAATGCGGCAGGTTTGGGGCCCTGGCAATGTGCCAAAGGAGCCCTTGGCTCCTTTCCGGAGAAATCCCAGGAGGGAGCATACAAATCTCATGTCCGATGCCTCCACAGAGTGGAGGCAGGCGTTGAAGCTGATCAAGTCCGGCTGAGTCCACCTTTCACAGGCTGTGCCGTCTGAGCGCCCCGTGCTATCTGTGGAAATGATGCCAGAAACCCAATTTGTCCCGATGCCAAGATGCGACTGGCTGCTTCGACCCCATGCCTACCTGAGAAAGGCGTCCACGTCTCACCTGCCCCGAGCCTCCGCATCTCCGAGAGCCGCCTCAGCGCCCGACGCCAGCCCAGGCTTTGCAGTGCGGCCGTGCTGTCCTTGCCGGCCGTGCCAGCCATGCCAGCCAGGTGCAGGGCGTGGGGCCAGTGGGTGGCAGCACAGGCACAGGCGGCCTCGGTGCGTCTCTTTGGATCTGATTGAGTACAAGGCGCCTAAGTTTGCCGCGTGCCCATCACTGAAGTCAGAAGCTACAAGCCGTTGGTGACTGAAGTCAAAGCGTCGGAGTTCAGGGCGACCGCGTCCGGAGATGCATCCAGAACTAGCACTTGGAGGGAGCATCGCCAAAGCTGCACAGCCTCCAGCGCCGACAGCAGGCAGCCCCCGGAGATGGCGTCCCGCCGCATGCCTGATCTCAGCGCTGCGTGATTTTATGAAAACGAGTTCCGGGAGCCCGTCTTGTCCAAATAGCTGGGTTCACAGTGATTTGGAGACCTAGGTTCGCAAATGAGTTCTCGACCTGAGATGGCAGCTGCGTATAAAGAAAGGAAGGGACTGCAGGGACTGGCCATTGCGCAAAGACATGCCAACGCTGTCGAGGCACCCTTGGAAGCAAGCACTTCGAAGAGTGCAGTTGCCAGCTGCCATTTGCTGCTCTTCGCACAAAGGTTCATGGCCGCATTGTACACCAGTGTGCTCTGTCGCACTTGCATCACCTCCAGGCATGAGATGCATAGAATTCTAGACACACCGTCATGATCACGTCAATGCAAGCACAAAGCCTCCATCTGATCCAAAAAGATCAGCGCCCATCGCCAGTCTGTCACGTGTCCGGAAGCGAAGGCGATGCTGTAAGCACCGTCTGGATCCAACTTGAAATCCTGCGTTGAATTAGCTAGTCCCCTTGGTGGATATGGGGGCAGCCTTCTTTGAAATCGCTCTGAAAACACCGCAAATATAACATGATCAAAACCAACACAACATGACACAACCACAGCGAACGGGCCGAATCGTCTCCTCCAAAAGACGCTGTGTCTGCCGCGGGTGCTCTGCGCAGGCCTTGAGCGCTGCCCCACAGAGGGCCAGGTCCGGGCCGAAGTCTGCCGCGGCCAGCAGCGCCGGGGCCAGGCGCCAGCCCCCCGCGGCGCTGGCGCTGGTGGCGGCACCCAAGGCGACCACGGTGCGCCGCAGCCGCCGCAGGCCCTGCCAGAAACGCATGAATCTGAAAAAGAAAGGAAACGCGTGAGGAAACGGTTCTCATGGGAAACGGCTTTCATGGGACTCAACGTCGTTTTTGAGCCGTTCTGAGCTCCAAGCAGCGTGCCTGCTCATGCAGCAGCGCCAGGGCGGCCGGCCAGCGGTCGCCGCAGCGGCTGATGCTCCAGGAGAACGTGAAGGCGTCGCAGGGTGCCTGTGACAGGCACCAGGGTACCAGGGCACCAGGGCACCAGGCACCAGGGCACCAGGGCACCAGGGCACCATACGCCCAGGACACACACATATACACACGCCGGCACGGGCACAAGGGAAAACGTGCCCCTTCTTTTGCGCACCTGGCGCAGCTGCTCCAGCACTCGGTGCCAGTGCAGTGCAGAGCTCCAGATCCGCTCCGCGGCCTCAGAGGCAAACACATGACTAACTTCAAGCAGTCGAATTGGAACGGGAGGTCTTAATGCCACGCCAATTTGGGCAGCGCTCAAACGCGCACGCCGCCTAGGGCAGAACCACCCCAAGAATCCTGGATCCTGTGTCGTCATGCTCTTCCCAAGACATGAGCCATGATCCCCGCCTGCTGCCATGGGCCGGTGATGGTCTCCTCTGTGACGCTATCTCCTGTCGAGCAAGCTAGCCTTTCGACGCTTCCTGGATCTTTGTCCTGGGAACTTGGCAGTCATTCTGCAAGAAAGCAGAATAGAACAATATGACATCGCGCAGAAAAGCCATGAGCCTTTGGATTAGTGGATTTGGCAAAGATTCGACGAGATTTGGCGACGAGAGCAGGGATCCGCTCCATTGGAATTCGGCTCAGCAACTCAATTCGTAGCTTCTCAATTGTTGCCGAATCGCCCTTACAAAATCCTAAAAGATGGGCTAAATTGCACTTGCTCAATCCTAGCTACTGATTTGTAAAAGAGCAGTTGCTGCATCGCAGGGGATAGTTGCAGAATTGCAGTAGCCAAAATCAGAGCATAGTTGCTGGAACGCAGTTGCTGAATCGCCGCTTGCAGAACTGTCTTTGCTGAAGCGCAATAGCTGAATGACAAAAAAAGAACTGGGTGTTTGGATCCTACTTGCTAAATTGCAAAGATCATTTGCTGACTCACAGGTACCAAACCACAGCTGCTGCTGAAAAGCAAGTACTAAATCAAGAAGAACAGCTGCTGAATCAACGTTGCCAAGTCCGCGCAAGTAAGTGCTGAATCGCGCTGAATCGCTCAGGCTATTGCAGCTTCTGACTTCCGGGAGAAACAAAACAGCCGCAAAATGGCATTTGCTGAAGCCTAATACCTAATTGCTTGATCAGTGCGGATAGTGGCTAGTTGCTGCATGCTGCTTTAGTGTGGATAAGTGCTGAATCGCCGTTGCAGAAGAGCAGCTGTCGAATTGCAGCTGCTGTTTGGCATTTGCTGATTCAATGCGGGTGTTGCTAAATCGCACTTGCTGAACCGCAATTGCTGAATACGGGCAAATAGTTGCTAAATCACAATGAGTAGCTTCCGAATCGCAGTTTCTGGATCAATGCAAATTGCTGAATCAGCTTCTGAATCAAGAATTGGCAGCTGCAGCAGTTGCGGCAGTTGCGGCAGTTGCGGTAGTTGCTGCATCGCCGGCATCGGACTTCGTTCCCCTTCTTGCCTAAAGATCGGGTCCCTAAAGTCTCCTTGCAAGTGCCTCGTCTGAAGCTCTGCCAGCAGCAACTGCGCCCCTGGCCATTGCTGGCCTCCGCTTGAAACACGGGAACGAAACCAAGGTCAAGGGTGCTTACGCGCTACAGGAATTCCAGAGGCATGCCGTCAAAAAAGGCTTGGGACTTGTGTAATGAAAGCCTCCGTCTGAAAAAAAACTCGACCCAGAACTCAGATTTGTTGCCGGGCGACCCTTCGCGAAGGCACTGATGGCCGTGTTGTAGGTGATGATGTTGCCCTGGAGCCTCGCCTCCCGCAGAGACACAGCTAAGGCAGCAGCAGCTTCCCACTGGGAGCCTCTCTCGCAAGCGCTGACGGCGGTGCCGAAGGACACCTCCGTCGAAGCAGCCGAACACGAGCCAATTGGTGCTTACAGCCAAACCATCATACACCGCTGCGCTTGTGCTCAAGCAATGTGAAGCACCCAAATTGAAGCAACCAATTAATTAAGAAGCGAAGAAGCACAAGGCGGACACCCTGACACCCGGCGAACATCCTCCCGCACAGCCCGACTCTTCGCGCATGACGCGTGGAATGTCTTGAAAACAAGCAAAAAGCGATACTACAGCGCACTGCTGACAAAACGAAAAGCACAAAACCAAGGCGGACACCCTGACACCGGACAACCGTTTTGATCGTTTTTGCCGGCAACATCCCGGGAAGCCGCCTGTCCACAGTGCAACAATGCGCCGATTCCCAAGTATCTACTCACCCAGGACAGGGTCTCGCAGTGCCGCCCAAGGCACCAGGTCCGAGCCCGTTTGCTCGTGCAATGCGACCGCCTCTGGCCATTGCTGGCCTCTGGCACACGCGTTGGTGGCCAAGTTGCAGCAAAAAAATGTCTTCTGCAGCGACACCTCCGCCAGCTCCCGCAAGCCTCAAAGCATTGCACCCTGACGTATGATTCAATGACCTTCAACTCAAAAAGTCCCAAAGCCTCAGCCAAGGCTTGGCCTCAAGACATCAGCAACGTGGCAGAATTAGGGATCCGCCCTGGATGTCGCACTACTTGCAGTGACCAAAAGATACTGACAGCAATCAAATGAAATGCCCACTGCCATACACAACCACATGTTTCATGAGTTGGCTTCCTTAAAACCAAAATGACGGGCCCATCGTCCCTCGGCTTGGCATACACGGGACTGTGGGACATGGCAGTGGCTCAAAAAGATGTACCCAAAATGGCTCCTTGATAAATGGAAACAAAGACTAAACCCTGCGTAGTCCCAGGTCTTGAATTTTGACACCCACATGGGAATACGGATCACCCAACGAGACTCGGGTGCCTTCGAGCGCCTCGAGCCAGCGGCTCCCGCGGAGAGCGGCGCCAAAGACCCGGGAGCTGCGGCGCAGCCGCGCGCGGCGCAGCTGAGCGAGGAGGCCCCAAGACACCTCGAGCCCATTCGAAGCCCTCGACCGCGTTTGAAGCCTTTGAGTTGGAAGCTTCTTTGAATTTGAAGTTTTTGTTGAAGTCTTTGAGCTTCGAGTGGCAATTAATTGCTAGATCAAAGGCATGTTGATCTTCTAGGGTTCGCAGAGCCAGCCGAGCGAAAGACCGGCAACGAGCGGCGTATCGACAATCGGAGTGTACCTTCTGCCTGCTGGCATGACCTCCACAAATGATAACAAAGGAACCCATTCAAACTTTGTCCTCGATGTGAGGTGAAAAGCTACGTATAAGCTACACACCTGCAAACCCTGCAAACAAGAGATCTGAGAATCTTCGGAAGGACGCGAAGACAAAAGCGCCACAGGGCTGGACAATCGAAATCCTCACAGGATTTGAATGATTCGGAGCTGCTGGCGTTGGCAAATGCGCCTCTACAAGTCAGGCGAATCAACCATCGATCAAGTTGGGGTAAACGATGCACCTGGTCAGAAATTCGAATCCTGGGGCTAGTACTTTGGCAACAACTTGCATCCGTACTGGACGGAAGGAAGGTGCGAACCCCTTGGGTTGGGGCAAGCTACCAGACACACCTAATCAGCAAACACGGAAGCATCACAGAATCAAGAGGCTGCGCTTCGAGCTGCAAGTAACACACTCTTACAAGAGGATTACGAGAACTGGCTGCAACATGGAAGCGTTGAAACCTGTTGTCATTGAGACGACGTATTAACGATAAGGCCAATCGGCCTGTGGCGGTGCCGCATGTGTCAAAACAAGTGAGGCCCCTCTTGGCTTGCACAGGCCTCCCACTCGCAGACGGCCACAGCCGCGCCGAAGAGCGCCACATCCGGAGTCGCCTTCCCAAAGCAGCGCAAGGCCTGCTGCCACTGTCCTTCCGATCCCGAAGCGACCCGAGCCGGCGCCGATGTCCGATGTCCGCAGCGCAGGGGTGCCACAGGCAAGAGAGTGCAAGAGCAGGAAGCAAACCCAAAAAGGAAGTGAGAACCAGCAAACGGCGAATTCTCGTGGCGTTGCAGCAGGTAGATTTCAGAATCCATCTGTCTTCGAGCCGTTGAACTGCTGGAAAAACATTCAGCTCCAAAGGAGCGGACTGGGCGCCCAAGGATGTTGAGGAATCCCGCTCGTGAGTGTACCTGCTTGGGTGCATGTGTGTGTGGGGGCTCTTCTCAAGGAGTCTCAGCCAAACATCGAACTTTGTGGGAACTTTCTGTTCACTTGGAGAACCCCTTCTACCGCTTCTGCCGCTTCCACTCGTTCCACTCGTTCCACTCGTTCCACTCGTTCCACTCGTTTCCACGCCTTCCCTGCCCCATCCTCTGCAAGCGGCGACCGCCTTTGTGCAGGCAGCCAAGCTGGGCTCGCTCTCATGGCTCAAGGCATGGACGGCCTCCTGCCAGCTTGGGCCTCGCATCGCCTCACACCGACCATCCCCTCGGCCGAACGGAGGGGCAGAACTCGCAAGAAGAAACAGTAGATTCGCCATCAAAGGGACACAAACGGATGAGATGATGACTCCAAACAAGTTGGACGAGCGCCAACCAGGAAGCGAAGGGAGTGCGCAGAGCTGTGGAGGGCAACACTTCTTTCCAGAAACATAGGTGCCATGAGCATCTCAAGGTGATATCTTTCTGCAGCACGATAAAGAGGCAGTTGATGCGTGGCTCCACGCCCCTGCTTGGTTTCTATCCGATTCTTGGCCTGGGTGCCAGTTCCGGTGAATGTGCGGGTTGCCCCCGTCCCCCCGGGTGTTTTCTCCTCGCAAGCAATCGACATGGGTCGCTGGCCACTGCACTTTGGCGCACGTGGCCTGCGTGCCTCCAGCACGCCCTCCGGCCCTGCTTCAGGGCTCAAAAGATTTGATGTGGCATCCAGTTCCGAAAGGTGCAGGAGCAACGCTTTCAAACAAACAAGGAACTGGAAGCCGCTTGACAAGAGCATCGTTCCCACTGGGCAAGAAATAAAGCAAACGCAGGCTGTTGCCACGCCACAAGAACGGCTTTCCATCCCCTCTCAGCGGGAAACCGCCCATCACATAACTGTGCGTCAGCGAGCCTTCTTGCTGGTGGCTTCGTCCTCCTGAGGCAAGGCGAAGCCGTGCAAGAGCTGGGTGCCAACTTCCTCTTCGGTTCACCCATTGCTTTTGCAGGCCGGCATAACTACTGAGGCTTCCTAATGCAAAATGCAGGGCCCCCGCAGTGCTTTCTCAGGCCCATTTGGATTTGTCGGGTTGGGTTGGAATGCTGCTGAGTGCTAGCCCATTCATCACTCCAATCCCGCGCGCAATGCATTGCAGCATGTCTGTTGGCCACCTGGCAGTTGTAAGTTGCCGGGTGTTTTTCTACAGGTCATGCTTTGAGTAACACCGTCGCAAGCTCATTTGGCTGGCACGCTACTGATGTTGCAAGCCTGGCTTGTCAAGGAAAACAAAGTCAGCCAGGTAGGGGCAAAAAATGATGCAACCAGTAAACCGCTCGTGCAAAATGAGCAACTTCAGCAAGTGCTGGCAGGACAGCATGGTCCACTTAATTAAGTTGCACGTGCCTGTTTTGAGGATGCTACTTTCAAACAACTCTTCCCTGCGAGTTCCTCCGATTTGCAATATCCCTGCTATATTTCGTGCGGGTTAAGCAACTACCGTGCTTCACTATCAATGCAAAGCACGGCCACCTTCACATTGTGGAAACCTGAATGCTATCAACTCACATGACCTTGATTCAACGCCTTGAAGCAGCTCACATAACAATATCGAACCCTGAACTAGTGGCGTCCGACTCAGCAAACATACCAAAGCAGTATGAAGCATCCAAGGACCCAGTCACCCCCGTCCCAGCTCACCCTTTTGCCACACCCGCGGTGCCGCACATGCAGCCCAGCGGGAAGCTCAGTGCCAGGTCCCGCAGCAAGAGCAGGGTTCGGAGCCACTGGGCTCCTTGCAGACTTGTGGATTGCCACACCGTGGCACGGCTTTGTGGGCAACAGCTTGGCAGGCTCACTTGCATTCAACTCCACGAGTGAGGCCGCGAATCCAAGGTCGCCCGCATCCTGCTCCCCCCCCAACTGCCACTGCGCCGACCCTCTGACCCTCCCCTCTCCAAGCCGATTGGGCCGAAGGGGGGCATGGGCCCTGGTTCCGACCGGCGAGGTCCTGCGTCACAAGCGTGGATCGCTGCCTCGAAGGTCATGAAGTTCCCGCCCGAACGCTGCGCCTCGAGGTTTTCCAAGAGGCTCAGCGCCGGCTGCCACTGGCTCGCCTCACGGGCAAGGCCACAAGCAAAACACCTCAACGCCCCTTCCTCCACCTTGTTCAGCCAACAACACTTGGTCTGCTGCCAGTATCTCTGAATCAAGTGGTGACAAGAAACAGGGGAGTCTCCACCTATTGAAAGGATGGCTCCCAGAGATAACACAAAGCGTGGTCTCTTTCGAAAACAACATGACGGCGGCTTTTTTTAGAAAAAGGACCGTGGCCCTTAAAAAAGGGAAGAGTGAGCGGGTGAGGTTTCTGAGAAGGGCCATTTTGTCAATGATCAAATCTGACACCATTGCTCTGCTCATTTTGCTCAAGACCTTTTTTTCCTCAACCGAAGCAAGGGCGGAGGGGAGGCAACGGCCTTGGCGCAGCCGGAGATGGCCGCGGTGAAGGTCACGACGTTCCCCGCCAGGCGCTTTCGCGCCAGACGTTCCAGCAGGTCCAGGCCCTCGAACGGCCGAAACTCGAACGAAGAGCGGTCGACCTCCGAATAAGGGGTCCTAAAAGCCCAGTGCATTGTGCCTTTGGCTTAAAAAAATACAGAAGGGCCCCTCATGGGGGGTGGGTTTTTCAAACACAGTGATTTTGTAGTTTTGGGGCATGTCTCTTTGGTACTTAGAAAAACACCTAAAACCTCGAGTTTTCCAAAAAACACAAAATCTCAGACCCTATGTATCCATGCTGGCTGAGTTAGGGTCTGAAGTTTTTTTTTGAAAACTCGAGTTTTTTTGGATTTTCTGGAAAAGTGTAAAAAACCTTGAGTTGTCCAAAAAAAACAAAAAACCACAAAATTTCAGACCCTAACTCAGCCAGCATGGATACTTAGGGTCTGAAATTTTGGTTTTTGGGTTTTTTTGGAAAACTCGAGTTTTTTTGGATTTTCTGGAAAAGTGTAAAACACCTTGAGTTTTCAAAAAAAAAATCAGACCCTAACTCAGCCAGCATGGATACTTAGGGTCTGGAATTTTGTTTTTTTGTTTTTTTGGAAAACTCGAGGTTTTTTTTGGATTTTCTGGAAAAGTGTAAAAAACCTCGAGTTTTCCAAAAAAACAAAAAATCCAAAATTTCAGACCCTAACTCAGCCAGCATGGATACTTAGGGTCTGATTTTTTTTATTTTTATTTTTTTGGAAAACTCGAGTTGCTTTTTTGTTTCTGAGGTTGGGGTCAGCAAGAAGAAACATTTCTCCGCAAAAAGGAAACATTTGCCATGGCGGCCTGGGCATTTCGCCTGCTACCGCAACCAAATTCTACTCAAGCTAACTAGAAACAGCCAGCTTGTCTTTCCTTACCAGATTCTATCTAGATTACAGCTAAATTCCCATTAAAATCCCAGATACTTGGAAAGGGAGTCCCATTTAAGTTCTGATTCAAAATGATAATTATAATTGAATCACTTAGAAGAAGCAACCAGCTTGTCTTTCCTTCTTACTAGATTCTCGTTGTATACATGTCTAATCAAAATCATATTTGGTCAGGAATTCACATTTAGAATTGGAAGGAATTCCAATTTACAATATATGTATATATAATATAGTTCATATATAATTAAATTATAATTGAACGCATATTTGGACAAGACCCAGTTAACATCTAAACTAGCAATTAAATTCAAAGTTCTAACTAACTTCTAATTGGACTCCTGCTTGCAAGGAAAGTGCTGATTAATATCTAATTCAAGAACATGAAATTGATTCTAGGAACCCAATTTAAATGTAAAGCCTCGCACTGTAAACCTCGCAAACAACTTGTAATGAAATCAGCTTTTTTTCCATGGTTTTTCTGTTTTTTCAGAGGCTTGCAAACTAGAAAAAACAACAAGCTTCTCTTTCCTTGTTAGATTCCCCTGCTCGGGAAGGGAAGCCTATTTAAATTATAATGCAACATATATTATGTTAACTTGAAAGCTAATTAAGATATGACTCAAACTTTAAGCGGCGCAATCTAAAACTTGAAAACCAATAGAACTGAAATTGCATTTCCCTTGAGTTTCTATTGGTTTGTCTCTCCTGTAAAGAAGCAGGCAAGTTAGAATAAACGACCAGCTTGTCTTTCCACACAGGCTTCTACTTGAATTCTAGTTCAGTTCTAATGCCTAACAGTGTAACAGGCATGACAAGAAAGATGCTAAGATAATTGCAGCTACACTGGCAATAGACAAGACACTTTTGGTGACTGGGCTTTTCTTCAATACTGTTTGGTCGGGCATGCTTGCAACTGACAAGCAATTTTGGGTGCACCATACGAGGTCCAATTGTTTGACAATGCCTGCTTGTAACAGATAAACATTTTTTTGGCACAACATCCAAGGTCCGCAGCAATAAAAGTGCATTGCCAGCATACTTTTCAATCTCAATCTGCCTAAATGCGCGCGATTATCATACTTGGGGTTGACATTGGTACATTTCATGGGTTTCAAAAACCCACCCCCCATGAGGGGACGCTCTCAAAAAATAATGGTTGAGCCACGCCAAACATTCCCAAGTCCCGCGCACGGAAGCGATCGCCTGCTGCCAGCGAGTTTGCTTGTCACAGGCGCTGATGGCAGCGCCGTAGGACACCACCGTGGTCTCCATCTTGGAGCGCTCCAACTGCGACAACAGAGCCACCGCCTCCTGCCACCGCCCTCCCTTCCTCAGCTCCGAGCTTCCACGAGAGTTCACGAGCGCCAAAGCCCCAATCCGGAAAACTGCCCAACTTCGTCCGAGCGGCTCAAACGCGCTGATCACGGCATTGTAGATGACCACGTTCCCCTGCAACAGCCACTCTTCCAGCGGTGACCACTGGCACAGCTCAATTGCTCAAGATGTCGACCACAACATATCTAGAACAAGAAGGCAAACCTCCAGCTGTCACAGAACCCTGAAGCAAACATGCAGGAATAATCTGCCCAATTTGAGCCTTGTTGTTCACTTACTCCTGCTTGCGCCCCCACAGCTCTCCATGTGGGAAGCATGCTGTGAAACAATGTGATTGCAAACCGCGCGAAAAGCTGACAAGGGACGTTAGGATTGGAATTTGACTGGTACTTGGGATTTGGATATCAGCAGCAAAATGGGCGAACTAGCCGGATAGCGGAATTGATCAACCCACAAGAGCTCCCCATCCCATTAGGCACTGAATTAATCCCAAACTATCGATGCTTTGAAATAAGAATAGGCTGAGTGCACAGGTGACACAGGAAAAAGGCTAATCGCAAAGCCCTCGCCGTTACACACCTCATGGGATGCGTGGCGGCCTCTCTTCTGCTCCGACCCTTTGCCAACTGCTCCGCTGCTGTCAGGAACCTCCCACTTCGCCAAATATATTTGGTTCAAAGAGCTCGAATTTCGGGGGCCAATTCCTATTCTGCTGACATCTTGTCATCCCCAAAATGCAAGCTGGCAAGGCCAACTCGGGCAAAAGGTCAGGCCCAAATTGTGGTTGAACCAGGTGCTTGGCGTTGGCTTGAGAAGTAGCCGGATGGCTGGTACAGGCAGAAACATTGGGGCTATTGGTGCAGAAGAGCGGATGACAACTTGAAATCTAGCATCCCTTAGTCGGGTGGACAACATCTTTCAATCATAATCGCTGGAATCCGACGGGCAGCTAATCAGCAAGCAATCCTGAACACACCACTCGGCTCCTGTCGGTTTCAGTGACTGCGGTTGCCAGATGTTGCCAGATTCAAAGCCGAGCCTTAAGAGACCCGGAAAAGGCGTGTGAACGTCTCAGCCCCGGCAACGCCCTTCCGCAAAGAGGGACTGCCTGCATGGACTTCCTCCGCAGCTCCGCCAGCAGCGCCACTGTCACCTGCCACTCCTCCCGCAAGTCACAGGCGGTCATGGCCGAGGAGTAGCTGAAGAGGTCCGCCAGCGGGCCCATCCTCGGCAGGGCATCGACTCATCCCCCCAAGAGAACTCTCCGTCTTCCCGAGACCCCCCCGCGCATGGGCTTGCAGGGGAGCACCGTTTAGAATGGGCCCACTGGTCCCTTCCCATTCCCCATTCCGCCCGTCCTCTCCAGCAGTACCAGCGCTCGCTGCCACAAGGCAACCTGGAGAGTTGCGAAGCTCAAGTCAGACCTTTGCCGCTGTCGTTTGGCTTCGGTTGGGCAATCTGCCGAAGCGTTTCTAGCTGCTGAGACAGGGCGGAAGCTAATATGTCTGCATGTTTAGTCCTAATCAGGCATTGCATAATTTTGGTCGTTGTGTAGCCCGCCTGTGCTGATAGTGGTCGTAGTGGATGTCTCTTTAGGTTGACATCAATCAGACAGGCACAAAAGGGTGACTCGAGATATGCCTAGATGAGGAAAACGAGCAACAATGATTTCGCAAATCAGGAACGAAATACAAAGGAGGAGCGCAAACACCCGAGGCCGTTCACGAACAGGAGGGAAACAAGCGTCAATGACTTTCAAACAGCCAGGCGCCTACCTGGCGGAGAATTTAGTTTAAGAGGACTTAAGGACCATAACAAGTGAAATAGACGCAGAGCGAGAGGCCAAACTTCGGTGCCTTAGACAGCAGGAGTCCGGAAGCTTGGCCAGCGATACGCGCTGCTCAAGTTGGAGCTTTGAATCCGTTGCGAAGCAGGGAGGCTCAAGGGAATGGAGAATGCCCCATGGAGTCGCAGGGAAGGTGAGATACACCTTGACCAAGCGAGGATGGTGCCAATCTGAAAGTCCGGGGCGACTCGGAGAGGAAGGAGACGGCAAACGAGACCGCCAAGTGGGCGGGAAGCCAATCGGAAGCCGAGTGAAGCGGAACGGGTAATGTGCTTGAGGGCTTGGGACAGAGTTCTGGTCTTGTCAACTTGTGAAATGGAGAAGAGCAAGAGCTGCAAGCACGACGTTGCAGTGCCCCGAGACGCTGAAGTTCAGGGTGTCATTGAAGTCGAAGTGGCGGCATAGCAGTGTGGGTGTCCCGTTGAAGGTTACGAAGCTGGCAAAACGGGTTGGAAGATCTGAAGCGCCCGTCCGTGATAATGGTGGCAGAGCGTAGCAAGCTGACAGCCACAGTGAAGGCGCGCAAACCTGGCGCACTAGGCGGAGCAGAGTGCAGCTTTGCTTCTGGTCACAAGCTCAAAGGAAACTCAACGTCGGCGCTTTGCAGCTGTCCAAATGAATACTGGCTGGCGGAGCGAGCTGTGCCTTGCTGGCAGTCCTCCCAGACTGGCAGGATGCTTCTCACATCTTCCCGTATCTTCGAAAGCTTTCCAACCAAATTTCACATTCGTCCACTCCGAAGAGCACTTTCGCTGGCTCCCCATTCGGCTCCTTTCGTCCGCCCCCGGAAAAGGCTTCCCGTGAGGGCGTCCTGCGCCAGCGCGTTGAGGGCGCAGTTGAAGGCCACCGCGTCGCTGCGGGCGCCCAGGCGCTGCAGCAGCACCAGCGCCTGGCCAAGTCGGCCCCATCCCTTTTCCTCCTCATTTGATGCATTTCTGCTTTTTCGGGAGAAACTCAAAAGGCATCCTATGGCAATCAACAAACTCAACAATCTCAAGTGGGCAAGTCGGCCACTTGAAAAAAAGATCACAAGTTTCGTGCCACGTGAACGGCTTCATGGCCGTCCCTTCGCAAGTGTGTCTCGCCTGCTGCCACTGCTTGCCCTTCTCGCAGGCTCTGATTGCTGCGCTGTAGGCCACCGCATTTCCTGCGGTGCTGAGAAGCTTTGCTCAAAAAAGGGTGAGAACAAGGCGCAATCGCTGGTTGGGAGATGTAATGGTTTGCTCCAAGCAAACATGACAGTTCTCAGGCTGAAGCAGCCAAAACGGCCCGGATCGAGCCCGAATCAGGCGGACTTTCTACTCTGCCGGACTCCCGGCACCAACTGCACGCCGTACGCCTTTGAGCCTGAACCCTCATGTAGGCCGTGTCAATTGGTCCCAAATCATTTGCTTTCAGGGATTTCTGTTGCTTCTTTTTCGGGGAAGGGCCATGGAGATTCTTTCGCTTCGGCACCTGTCAGGTCGCGCTCCAGCCGGCCGAAGAGGAGGAGGGCCCGCTGCCACTGGTCCCCGCGCTCGCAGGCCGTGATGGCCGCGCTGAAGCTCACCACGCTGCGCTGCAGCCGCTGCTGTTCCAAGTCCTGAAGACTTAAGGCTTTCCGACTGGAAGCCGAGCAAACCCTGGCCCAACGCGGAGCTGCCAGTTGCAGGGGTCCCTGAGGAAAGTCCCATGGAAGGGGGCGCTGGCCATTTCGAACCAATACCCCCATACCATCACAGCTGATTCCCACTATCGTGTCCTGAGATTCCTCTCTGTTTGAGTAGGGCCTACTCAACTGCATTTCACGGTCGCAGCGCGTTGAGAGAGCTGCACCTGTCCTGCTGTTTCCACACTTGCGCCACCCTTGGGTTGACCCGCTCGCCCACGGTGTGGCCTGTGTCTTGGCTGCATCTAGTTTCCGGCCGGCTTGAACCCCAAGCTTCGGCCGGGGGGGAAGCGCGGGCCTGGCCTCGCTAACATGCGCTGGCCACGAACCAACCAACCAACCAACCAACCAACCAACCAACCAACCTGTCCTGCAGCAGGTGCAGGGACCTCTGCCAGTCGCAAACTCCCAGTGTGCAGTTGTAGGTGATCACGTCCACCTGGGAGCCACGGATTTGGAGGTGAATCTTTGCCTCAACACTTCATCTGCTGTGTACATGTGCGCTCTCTGCCTAGCGCCAGAGCCACAAAGGGGCCCACAAGCGCCACTCCCGCCTCTGTGCGCTTGGCAGGCAGTTGGTTCAGCAGCATCAGGGCCCTCTGCCACTCCTTCTTGGCACAAGCGCTGGTGACCTTGGTCAGAGCACAGGCAACCCGTGGAACCACCCAACGATTGAGGAAGCTTGCAGAGCGATCAGATTGTTCAATGCAAAATGTCCAAAAAAAATAAGTTTGTGTTTTTTGGGAGAAAAAAAGGCGACTCGGGCGATTTACCTGTTCCCCAAAATACAGCGGTTAGTTGAATCCCAATCACATTCCCATACTGACCATGCTGCTAGCGGCTCACACTTTGTCATCAAAAATCCCGCGATTCTGGGATAGTGGTGATCCCGTGGGTCAGCCTCCGGTTCATGTCCATTCAGTTGGATGCATGTATAAATATCGTTGACAGGCCACCGCGTTGTACACGATGATGTTGCCAGTGAGTGCCAGCTGCACAGCTTGCTGCCAGCATCCCGCCTGCACTTCCCTCCCAAACCTCGGGCCTTCGCTCGGTCGAAGTCTAACCCCGACAACTCTCCGCCTTTGCCACACAGAGGCAAAGAAGGCGAGCCTCTTGCCAAGTTTCGCCTTTCGACTTTCCAACCCTTAGAGAAGCTGAAGCTTGCTGCTGTAACTTGAAGAGTCGCTTTGCAGACCGCTTTCGGCCTTTTCGCAGGCGCTAGCGGCTGCACCGAAGCTCGCGGCGCTCGGCCGCAGACCAGTTGGCGCCAAATGGCGCAGGAGAGACACAGCCGCCTCGGAATGAGCAACACGGGAACTCAGGAGTCCGAACACGTTATGCCAAGCACGGGATCCGCGTGGAGGGGATCAAGCTTGCTTTCATCCGAAGAGCCATCTGCTTCTCAGCAACACACGGATCGACTCAATTGATCCCTCACAGGCCTGCCAGTTCCGGCGACAGGCGCTGATGGCTTTGTTGAAGCTCGCGGTGTCTTGAAGCTCGCTCATCTCAAGCCTCAATCTCAAGGCGAATTTCGCTCCTAGCCTAGTCTTAGCCTAGCTGTTTCGCAAAAGGGATTCAGCTGGTTGGCCTCGTTGGCCTGGTTGGCCTTCCGGGGCCTTTTCAAAGCGACTTGGTGCATTCCCTGTCCTACCTGACGAAAGCCCCATCCTCCAAACAAACCCAATCTTTGCCACAGATCCTTCCCACCAATCAAAGCCTCCCTTGTGCCGAGTCACACATGCATTCCATGGCATCCCAAACCCTCGAGCCAAATTTTGGGCGTAAGCGCGCGATCTGCCAAAAGAACCCGGATGCTTCCGGCAAAAAACACGCTTGCGGCTGACAAAATCGACGTCGATTTACCCCCCTCTCGGGTCCTGGGCCTTGCGCTTGAAGAAGGCCTCCTTGGCCTCTCCGTAGGCCTCTCGGAAGGCCTTGCCCTTGGCCACCAGCTTGTAGACCTCGTCCGTGACGTACAGGTCCTCCATTTGGCTCTTTGGCTCTCTCCCCTCCTCTCCCCTCCTCTCCCCTCCTCTCCCCTCCTCTCCCCGTCTCCCCCTCTCCCCCTCTCTCTCTCGCCTCTCGCGTCTCCCTTCAGTCGCGCTTTGTTTAAATGTTTGACTGTGTTTTTGATGTCTTCTGGGACTCGCTTGCAATTTGCTCCGGCGCCTCCGTCATGGCCGCACGGAGCTTCTCCTCCCGGACTTGAAGTGCGGGCAGGACCTGGCCGAGCCAGCCTTCGAACCTTCGAACCTTCGAACTGCCAACTTTCCCGTTGCATCCCGTTGCATCTGAGTCCGGTCAATCGATCAATCGATCACCAGATCCCAAGTTGACGAAAACTGAGCTCGCTGAAGCTTTGGCAGTTGCGACCCAAGCCTCTTTGAGAAGGCGCAGCGTGCTGGTGCACAGCTCACCTGCACAGTCATGAATATATCTTAGGCACATCGGAGAGCGTCCGTCGTGCGGAAAGTCGTTTGCGACTTTCATGGCATATCAAAGCACCCCAGCAACAAACTTCACCTGGCCGAGCGACACGCTTCAATGAAGGCCTTCTTGGTGCACTGCAAGTCTCTATGGTAGCCGCTGCCCAAGCCCACGATTGTCTCTTGGATCTGCATCTGCAGCGAACCAAAGACCTGCAAGCGGACTGCAACTCATGGCCGACTCGCACCCGATTTGAGCAATTGAGCTCTAACAGGAATCCTTGGTCGGACAGTTGACAATTTGCATAGGGTGGGTGAAGAGCTAGCGGGGCGGCTGTTGGTGCATGTCGAGCCTTGCCGTTGGCGCGCATGATCTCAAAGAGGTCGTAGTTCTTCTTCTGCGGCATGATTGAGGAGCCTCGCACGCACACTGAAGTGGCAGGCACAATGAGACAAAGTCGCCTGTGACGAAGTTGTCCGGCAGGGCCACAAAGAGGCTCTCCTGCTGGGTGAACATCATCATATCCTCCGATGGCATGCAGCACTGCAGCAACTGGAGGTGAGATCTGCAAGATGAAGTCAGGCCCATTTCCGATGCCCGCTCCGTGGCAAAGCGGGAGCTCAGCACCATTGGCAAGCTCATGGCCTAGCACGAAGATGCCGATTGCGAGGGAGATTCTCGCGAGGCGTGCCTGGAGGGCCACATTCTCGAACATGCCCCTGCTGAGGCCGCAGTACCTCGCAGTGGCACTGTTGCATCCGTGCACTCTGGAACTTTCAGTGGAACCCGTTTGTGGGCTACTCTCTGTCAATTCCATTCACTTCCATTCACTTCCGTTCACTTCCGTTCGGATTCGCACGCACTCGCTCGGTCCAGTCGCACCGGGGCGCATGGGGTTGTGCTGCACGCCCGCGAAGCCCATGAGCTTGGCCGTCTCCCCGCGGTCCAGCTGCAGCCCGTTGATGCCGAAGCCGGCAGCCGAGCCCAAGGGGTTCTGGTCCAGAACCGCCATCCTGAGATCCAGAACGCGAGGATTTAAATGTCGGATCCATGTCAACCGCTGAACTGCGAAAGGGGTGCGGGAAGGGGTGTCGGCAGTAGACAAATAAAAACATGCTGCGGGATGCTCTGCACCGCAGCTAGATCGATTCGCCCGCCAATACTCGACACGCCAAAGAAGGAACAGCGTCGCAAAGTCATTGTTTAGAAGATCCTGGCAAGCCTTCCGCATTGCTTGCAGTTTTTGCGTCGATTGCTGGCAAAACCAGAACAGCCTGAGGCAACCAGCATCAACCAGCTTTGGCTGGTGTCGAAGTACAATTTCGAGACGATTTGCAGAGGTCTTCCCGCATTGGGACCATTGTGTAGAAATGTTCAAGCAAGCGTCCTAACTCGTCGCGCCAAGTCAATTCAAGTTACATAGGTGTTGGTGTCACTGGGCGGAAGCTCGTTCATTTTGCGGTTCAGGTTGTTTGATGCGCTAAGTGGAATCTCCCGGTGGCGTGCGCACTTGACAACTACCCAAAAGGACAGGGAAGCCATACCATTTCGAAGGTGCCTCTGCGTTCATGAGGTGTGGTCTGCATGCCGCAATTATAGTAGGCATGTTCCAAAGTTGGATCTTCCCTTCATGAAGAATTGTCAAATTGTCCGAATCAGAAGCCTTTGCCGACATGCCTCTAAAACTGTATGCTCGTGCTGGGTCCGCTGTGGCATGGTTCGACCACTACAAGAGCAAGCGGACAAGCATTAGGTACAAGTCGACTTGTTTCTGCGCAACCAATCGAGCTGATGTCAAAGCCCCGACGATTGGTCTGTAGACATGGGACTCGGCAGGCGAGCGGCGCACCCTCCAGAAGCTTCTGGGCATCGAGCCAGCCAGCGGCAAATGAGCCCAGCCAGGTACCCACGGTGGTGGGCATGGCACGCTGCATGTGAGTGTAGCCTGTCGATTCCGCAGTGCATTGCGATTCACCGGCGGCTTGAAGGACCTAATGGGATCCGCTTCATGTCCCGTTTCCGTGAGAACCGCGACGGCCCTGACGGCCCTGACGGCCCTGACGGCCCTGACGGCCCTGACGGCCCAGTGCGAATCTGCCCAAGGCGCCTGGCATCGGAACCGCCTTCAGCTCAGAGCCGCGTGCCTCGCGCGCCGATCTCTCGATCCGAGCCGAGGACTTATTCGACCACAAAAATACTCCGGGAAGCTGTGTGTCCGGCGCGGCCTCTGCAGCCTTGGACAGCTCCAGGACCAGGGCTTTCACAGTCTTCAGCTGCTCCAATGAGTACAGCCGGATCATCGTCATCGACCTCGCTTGAACACTGCCCTCAACAAAACGCCAAAGCCATAAGCATACATCGGCTCAACGGAATGGACAAAAACTCGCCCGAGGGCCAAGCTGATCGTTGCGCGAGCGGCCCGTATGGATCTTCTTGCCCACCTCCCCGTACTTCCTCAGGAGGCAAACACGGCTTTAGGCTCCGTGCTGGTGGGTGAGCAGCTCCACTCAGCCCCCAGAGAAATAGTGGTTGAGCACCAGCAAATGGCTACGGCCAATTCCGAGATCTGAAGAGCGGGTCGCTTTTGCCAAGCATCTCAGTGATATACTGTTCGATGGCAGTGTGGCCATCCTCTTGGCTAAGCGTCACCTTGAAGTCGCCTACACGTGCGACGGAAAGAACACTGCCCCGGTGAACAGCGTCCTGGTAATTGCAGAATGCCCCGGCATAATCATCACATCCTCATCCCTGCCTTTTCTCCAGAGGTCTCCGATCTCCTGGAGTGCCCTCTTCAAAGTGGTCAGCTCCTGAAGAGATTTCAGAACACTGCTCAGCTGAGAATGTTCCTCTCAACCACAGTCTGCACAGCCCTCCTTGGTTCATTAAATTGACGCCTTCAGGGCTCGCTCCAAACCCAACCCACACTTGCCCTGTCCCCCCCCGCCCCGAAGGGCAATGGGCTCCTCAGCTGTGAGGACCCCGATCTTCTGCAGCATTGTGGCGTGCGCCTCGCTTGCCTTGAGGTCGTACGGCAGCAAAAACTCGCCATCCAGGCGGTAGTCCTCTCCTACCTGAGTCACTAAGGCTCATGGCATGGCCGGCGTAGCCCACGCTCGTTTGACCGGGGCGCGGTGTACGCCTCCACTAAGGGGTGCAAACCACCGCCAGACCCCTGCCACAGCTTTGCCATTGCGGCTTCCAAAGAGGCACTGCAGCTTTTGCTTGTTGCGGATGTCTTGCGGCTGTCTTGCGGATGTCTTGCGGTGTACTGTGGCTGCATGCCTGATCAATACGTGAGAAGACTTGGTGTTCTGCGCTCGAGTCACAGTCACCGTAACGAGGGAAGTGCTCAGCTTTGAGTTGCAAACGTCTCACGAGCAAGTGCCGGCCGCGGGTCGCTGGCGTGTGGAGCTGTTTGAACTTGGCCCATCCCGATCTCCGAGGGTCCAAGCCAGGCGCTATTCGCAAGCCCGGGCCTTTGAGTGTAAGCCTCCTGCCCCTTTGGGGCGGAAGGGGCAACCCACCATATCGGGGCATCCCTTTTGCTTCAGGACGAAGATGCACTTTGGATTGCTATGACTGATATGAGTGACCACAAGAAGCTCTGACATGGTCTGGCCTGAAGCACCCATGGCTTCCTACAAACAAAAAGACTGGCCAGACTGGTCAGACTGCCAGCTGATCTATCTCTGTTTCTACTCACATCGCCACCTGCAGGAAGTGCGGCAAACGATGCCCCTGCGCCTGGCCAGACTTCCGCTGCGCTCTCGCTCGCTCGAATTGGTCAATGTCCCATGCAAGGTATGCGTCGCTCAAGAAACATGGGACAAACTCCCCCAGCAGCTTCCAAAAGCTTCCGGAAGCTTCCCGTGCCTGGAAGTGCTTCTTCGCCGTGTCCAGCAGCTGGGAGATGTCCTTGTCCCCGATGGGCGGCGCCTCGTCCTGGCACGTCGCAGGTCGCAAGTCGCAAGCCGACGCCGATGGTGTTTGAGAGGCGTAGGAACAGCTCCAGACAATCTCAGGCCCTCCAACCAATCCATCAGGAAGATAGGAGCAGACCACATCAGCAACCTTGGTACAACGTGGACCACGCGGCTTGCCGTTTTGTTGGTCGGCTTGGCCAAGGGAGCTGTCTCATTTGCCTGGTGCAAACACAGGACCAACAGACCAAGTCAGAGGATGGCGCCTGCAATTAGTGAAGAAGCCTCGTCAGGTCTTCAACCAAGCACTACCAGCACGGCGTTGCCAAACCATCCTAAACCCTAAGCGAGCCCACTGGCGACACTCGACATGCACTCTCCTGCGGGGGCCCGTGCCGCGACTCGCCCAGCAGCGTGTCGTAGGGGAAGCCCAGTGGCGCCTGCTCCTTCGGGTCCTGTCTCCGAAGGCTCCCAGATCTCAGCCGAACAGATCTGAAGCCAGCAAGAAGGCCACCAAAAGCCCACCAGAAAGGCCAATTGCGCGGAAACTCAGTCCTTGCCCATCTCGCCGTTGTACCAGACCGTCGGCGGCAAGTACCAAGGATTCCGCATCTGGATGGGGGCTGGCTTCAAAGGATCTCGCAGCTACCTTTTGCCACTGCGAAGGGGAATTTAAAATTAAAACGAAACAAAACCAAAACGAAACACAGCGGGACTTACCGCTCTCCCAACCCGGGAGCTTCACGGGCGTGCCTTCCGGCGGCCGCCCAAGGCCCGGTCCGGCTCCTCGGGCTCCGTGATGTACACCTCGTCCGGCGCCTGGAGCGAGACTTCGAGAGGCTCCACGCGCGTGTTCCGTGGGTCAAAACACAAGACACTGCCCCTGTGGCCCCCGAGTTCTCCGTTCCAAATCCAAGGAATGGGAAGCGCTACGCCCGCCTGGCGCCGCCGTGGCTTGGGCTCCCGAAGCTCAAGCTCCTCCTGAAACGGAAAAAGGAAAGAACCATCTCTGAGAAAAAAAAGAAAGAAAGAAAGAAAGAAAGAAAGAAAGAAGAGACTGCGCTTTTGTAGATGATTGACTCCATTGGCAAGGAAGGAAATGAGAAAATGAAGTCATCAACAAACAAGTGAACCTGCCACGCTGCAAGTGATGGATTTGATGCACATGGGGGACAGTCCACAACCTTCGGCCAGAAAAAAAACTAAAAACTAAAAAACTGGATCTTTGACCACTTCAAAGATGAAACCTGTTGCGCACTTGAAAACACTCCAATCTCAAGCTTCTGAAAAGAAGGTGAAGAAGAATATTCGCAAGACCTGTCATCTCCGGAACAAGCTGTTGGCCGTGCATTTGTGAGCACTGGCGAGCTCGGAGACTGGCCTAGGCCCGAGCCTCTTGTTTCGGGCCCCAATACGACTAGGTCCTTACACAATCTGACACAAAAAGAAAAGGTGTGTGAGACAAAACCACGAAACATCCCCTTCAACAAACCCAAGGATACCCACAGCCCGCCTTGACCTTGGGCTCCCGCGGCGCCTTAGAGGCATTGGCCGCGCGATTCCCCAAGCTCAGTTGTGGCTTTCTGCTTTTGAGAAGCGATCAGTTTACGTCACATGGGACACTGTCACTCTCGAAAGCCAGGCCACGTTTCCAAGCAGCTCATCGCAGAGCCGGCGGCTGAGCTGGTTCTCCACCGCCACCACGCGGTTGTCCGGGAGGATGATGTGATAGCCCTTGTCTGCGGTGTCCTGAGGGCAGCCGGGCTCTGGAGGGCTCTGGAGGGCTCTGAAGGGCTCTGAAGGGCTCTGAGGCGATTGCCCATCACTTGGAGACTTGGAGAGTTGGAGAGGCTTTCGCCGGTCCTGGTGCTCCCAGGGCTTGGTCTCCAGCGCATCGTCGGGCTCCGGGCACTGCTTCCGAGCTGGACAGGGGACGAGTCAGTGACTGTCTGACTGTCGCCCGGGTTGAATTCCAAGTGGGAACTGGAGCCATCCACGAATCTTTTGAGGCCCTGGGAAGGGTTTGGGGGCACAAGACCCTGGCATTAGCAAAACAATCACGGTCTTCCAAGTGCTTTGATTCTGTGCGATGGATTTTGCAGAAAACACCATGTCCAGCCTTGCACAGAGCGCTTCGCCTCTTGGATGATATCCTCAGGCCCTTGGATGGACCATTCATCCTCGAGACTCGAGACTGCGCGATTTGGGAGGGGAGGGGATTGGCGATATAAATGGGGTGTCTGCCTCGCTGCCTCGCTGCCTCGCTGCCTCGCTGCCTCGCTGCCTCGCTGCCTCGCTGCCTCGCTGCCTCGCTGCCCCTCCTTGGATGCCAAGAGCTCTGAGATGTCAGCATCGAAGGGGTTCCTGGCAAGCGCCGTCTTCTACCGAGATCAAGTGGTTAAAGCGCGTACAAACGAACATTGGATGTTTATTTTCACCTTCCTGATTTCAAAGAATACAGTTGACGATTGTTCACTAAATATAGGTAGTCGATGTGTACATACTGTAGGTACAATATTTGATATCCTGGACACGACGGTACAGACCAAAAATTATTTTACTCGGGACAATAATGTACGGTGTGGCTTGCTTCGCAGGACATGTGTTCATTCTATACATGCTTGCGCGAAACTCGCAAACCCGTCTTCCAGCTGACTGAACTGGTGTGTTCAGTGCATCTTTAACTAATGTTCACTACTTGGACTTAGCCACTGAGCCGTTAAGAACTCTACACCTCTCCCTCTTTCTTTCTCACCCCCTCAGCCCCTCAGCCCTCAGCCCTCAGCCCTCAGCCCCGTGCGCGGGCGCGCTGGCCGTGCTCCGGGCGGGCTCCGGGTCCGGGAAATCCCGGGAGGGGCGGACCCGAGGCAGCCGCAGGGGCACCTCCGCAGCTCGGCTCTGGGCTGCTGGGTTGCTGGGCTGCTGGGTGGGGTTGTGGAGTTGCTGTGGGTTGGGGTTCTGCTTTTCTTTCCAAGAAGCGCCCTCAAGCCCAACCACTGGAAGCTTGAACCCTAAACCCTAGCATCTTCATCTGCTTTCAAAATTAGATAGACATCATAGGCATCCAAAAAACATACAAGCCCTGGCCTTCTTCCTCGGCATGTCCCAGAGAAGCTCTGAGCTCTCAGGTGCGAGTAGTCTCTTCAGCTTGGCTGTGTCAAACTCCAGTTTCACATGAACGCTTGCGGTGCCTCTCGAAGCACTGCTTAATGTCGCGCACTGCTTATGTTCAGCATGTTTTTGGACGTACGTTTTGGCCTGTCGCACGATACAGGCCCCGCCCGTGGGCGCTTCGAGCCCGATACACAGAGGCTTCACAGCGGAGGCTTTACAGGGCGCCAGACAAGCCATGCGGCAGCTGCATGAAAGGAAGTGCCACGTTCGTACAAGGAACAGGATTGCGTTGCCAGGCAATTGATGAAGTCACTGTGAAGTCAATTGATGTCTTTGCCAACGGGTCAAGAAGAGCAAAACTGCCAGGTCACGACTGTGGGTCGCCGGAGCGGCTTGTTTATATGTTGCAGCCGGTCATGTGTTGATTCAGCCACCGAAGTGTCAGGGCTCACGTGGCACTCTCAAGCCCCAGAGTCACCTCTCCGGAAGTGAAACAAGCCTCATGTCTGTGTGAGCTAGAAATGAAGCACGAAGGTGAATCCTCTTTTCATGCATGCTGCAAGAAAACATGCTTTGCACCCTTTCCCCCGTCGTGGATGTTTGAGTTTGGTGTTTACGTTCTATTCCTGCCCAGCAAGGGGGTGGTTGCTCCCTGGTCCCTTCCGACCACGGGCTGTGCTCCGGCCAATTTTGTCCCGAAAGCAAGATGCCCCTCTGCTCATCAGCCCATATTTTAGATACGCGATGTCCTTTGGAAGCCGTGCCCTGGAACCCTCTGTGAGGCTCCAGCCTCTGATGGGCGCCCTTGAAATCGGTTTCACACACCGTCACTTCCACAGGTCCATGTCTCACTTGGGCCACCCATCCACTGGCCTACGGATAGAGACTTCGTCTGCGCTCACTGATCCAACATCCGAGGCCTTGGCAATGCCGGAACCACTTCCCAGTGACCCGGTTGGAGGCCCGACCCTTTTTCCGATTTGCCAGAATCAGAGAAGCCCAAAGACTGCGTAAATGAAGACTGATAAAGAGGATCCGTGGCGCAGCGGTCAGCGTCGCGTTGCCTAAGGGCCAGACTTGGCAATGCTGAAGACCGGCTCTGCCCCGATGGAGCGCGGGAAGAGCTTCACCTCACCTAGGATGCTGATGGGGTCCAAATGTGAGCAGGAGCAGAGCATGGTCCTCGTGAGGTTGGTAACGGAAGCGAATCAACATTCAGGCGTTTGTCACAAACCCTTCTGAAGGCCTTCGGGCAGCCTTTTGATTTAGGGGCCGCTCGCGGCTTCGAGTGGCTCAGATCGCGTGGGCCCCTGGCGGATGCGAAAGGGCAGGGATGGGCCGCCGCCCCCGCCACCACCACCGCCCTGAGCACCGGCACGATCACCCACCATGCTCTGCTCCTGGCAGTCACGGGGTGTCCCAGGTCCCGCATCCCCAACTCGCCAAATGATACCCCAAGGCCTCGAAGGTGCTCTTGGTGCGCGCGGCGCTCCACTGTGCAGGCGGCTTCTTGGCAGCCCTTGGCAAGAACATCCTAGTCTGTCATCAGAAAACCCAAAACCCTAAGTGGTTTGCACTTAAGCTTCATTTTCGGAGTCTTCTTGAGTTCCGACCGACCATCCTGCTAGCGTTTCTAGATTCACAAAGTGGGGAAAGAGCAGGTACTGGGCTCTTCACGTGCGGTCCAACTGTGCCAAGTCCTTGTTGGCTCGTTCCACCTCTGCCAGTGGCTCTCGGTGACTCTCTCTTCTCTCTCCCTTATGCTTGTTCATTCTACAGGAAACAACGGGCAAACCGCCAAGTGCCATTTGCAGCGGGCTGGCATGAGGATTTGGCACCTTCGTTGACTTGGGGCTGCACACCCTCAATGAACAATAGATGCAACTCAACTTCCCCTGGCCTCGCTCACTTCGTCATCAAGAAAGTTGAAGCTGCTCATGGCTAGCCTGAGTACTGGAGTAACATGTTCTATGCCATTCGTAGTCAGGATGGGGATATGCGTTCGGTTCTCCGGGGTCAAGAAGATGCCAGTCACTGACATTTGCTGCCAACGCTGGGATTCTATTTGTGTGGCAGCACAAGCACCAAAGAGAGGCAGGGATGATTTTCCGGGATGTGGCTGACAACCAGGATTTGAACATTTTGCAAGTGGAGGAAACTCAGCCGGTCCCTGCTGTGGCTACTTTGGGTTGCATACAAAAACTGTTGCATGCTCATTGACAAGGTGTGTGGTGATTCGTTGGAAGGGCTATTGCATCTTCAGACTGAGGCGCCCGCTGGAAGGCAACTGCCAGAGTGTTTGACTTGAGCAGCTGCCGACAAGCCAAAGAGGGCAGGGACTTTCGCCGAAACTGAAGTTTGATTGGGAAAGATTGGGAGTGAAGTGATGAACTGTCTTGCTCAGGACACATTCGGACAAGCTGCTTTGAATGAGAAGATGCTTTTTCAGACTGACATTGGCTAGCATCCGAAGCATCTGGCTGTGGGTCGCAGGGCCGGTGATCCTCTGATCTTCTGGCAATGGTATCTCTGGCCGGAATGGGCCATCTTGAGATCTAGGGATCTGATTCAGATCACTCGGTGCCGATCATAGGATCACGTTCACAAGTGACACAAGTGACATTGCTCAGCCTCTGCGCCCTCGTGCCATGCACCGAGGCCTTGGGTTGCCTCCGGTCTGAGACGCGAATTCGGACCCGCCGCGACGTTCAACGGAACAGAACCGCCCCCGCCACATCTGTGCCCAGGGCAGAAGGGGTATAACAAGACAGCACATGCTTGAAAGGCTTTAAAGGCTTGAAAGGCCATGTGGCCGGTCCCTGAAGTCGGATAAGCCAAGCAAAAAGGAGATGGTGGGGGTGGGTCGCCTTGTCAGCAAGACGCCGGCAAGCCGTACATGGGCTTGCAGAGGTGCCTGGATTGGAGCTGAGACTCCGAGACACCGAGATCTGACCGGCCTCAGACCGTTCGGTACCGTTCAGTATGAGTTCTGCGTTTGGCGCTCGCCGCCAGTCACTCGGCAAGCCCTCCTAAGAACTACACGGCTGCTGTGGCTTCCAGCAGCTCGCGGGCGAACCCAGGACGGCCAAAGAAAAACAACGGAACTCCAAATCTTCAACACGGAAAGGAGCCTTGACAGTAAGACCTCCAGTCAAATCCAAAGCCACTCGATGGGTGAGTTGTTTGGGCTTTGTTTCAGAGATTCAGCGACCATAATGTTTGGTTGCAAGGCTTCATCAAGAGTTTATACTTTGAAATACTTTGTAACTTGAGATGCTTCCCTCCTTGGGAATGCTACGGACAAGGTGAGGCTCAAGTTGTCGGCCGCATGCTGCCTGGGGACACCTTCATTGCCTCAGGGCAGATACTCTTGTGGATCTGCCCCGACAAAACTCAAAGGTCACAGTGAATGCATTTCAGACTTGGCATTGGTCAACGGGCCCGTTCAGCCCTTTCAGCACTTTCAGCACCAGGAGGCGCCGTCTGCAAAGCCTGAGCTGTTGCGAAACCCTTTCCCTCGGCTGCAAAGTTTCCACCGCACCCCTTTGCATGTTTTGCATCACCAGGTATCCCAAGAAAATATTATGTGCTAAGCTCAAAGCTGAGCCCCACTCGTTCCACTGTCCCTGCTGGCATTTTACAAGTAAGACTACAGGCGTCGATTGCCACGTTCAGATGTGTTCGCTGTTGCCAGGGTGCTTGGCTACGCGCTCTGATAACCTCCAGCTGCTGAAAGCAATTCAAGTCGAAAACCAGGGAGCTGCGCCATACTAGGTGCTGCGCTCAGCGATCCGCTGTCTATCAGCGAACCCTGGCAAAGCCAAGACAATGAATTCGACTGAGTGGCGACTAGAACGCGGCTCCGGCCTCTGGTAGGCCGGCAAGTTCAGATTCGTCTGAGGCCTCACACGCGGCTCCGGTGCGAATCGTGTTTTTCTCTTTTGAATCGGGACGGGGCCCGGTCTTTTGCTCATTCCAAGCCAAGGCCCTTGGAATTCATGAGCCCACGGCCATGCCGCCAGGGCGAAGCCTCCGGAAGGTGTCCTGGGTGTTGCGCTGCGCCACGCGCCGGGCTGCGTCTTGTAGGGCCTAAGCCGAAACCCGAAACCCGAAACCCGAAACCGGCCCAAACCACCGGCCCCAAGGCTTCATGCTTGCTTCATGCTTCTGCAGCTTTTTCGCAGCCATGTGCCCGGCTCCTCACTGGAGCCGACTGGCTGCTAAGTCTCGGGTAAGTCCGCTCCAAGGTCCAAGGTTTGCCTGTAAAGGATTCAGCCCAGGTCAACTCGCTGGGAAGACGCGCTGAAGCCTTGAGCTGCAAGCGTCACGGAGACCAAGATGGCACTCCCAAGAGGGTGGCACTACCTTCCGGTGTCTCTTTGAGGAGCCTAACTGGCGGCTTCAACCAGTTCGAATCGAGTCAACACTGGTTTCTGTTCCATAGGCAATAGCAGGTGAATGCGCATTGGGATGCTTGCAACGGGGAGTCTGCAGCCTTCTGACAGTTTCAAAATGCGGCGATGCCCGCTTGGGAGCGCCATCGGCCTGTGGCCACTCATAACGAATCCCGTGGCCGGGTAAAAAGCCCTTGAAGGGTAAAGGCCCTTTAAGGGCGGATGTTTCATCACAGATCTGTACACCCTGCCAAGGGCGGGAATTTGAATTTACGGACCCTAGCTTCAAAGCCTGCAAAAGACACATGCAAAGCATTTAGAGAAGCATGTCGTTGTGCACAACGAACTTTGGCAGCACACCTCTCACATTTTACGTTCTGTCAAGGGCTTGACATAATGCATGTTGCCGCGCAACACACGAGGTGCCAGCTGCCGTCCTAACTACCCTTCCAACACCCGGCGCCCGGCGCCTAGCGCGGAGCCCGCCGGGCGCCCTGGGACGGCGGCCGCGGGGCCCCCGGGGTCCCCGGGGCTGGGGCGCGGGCGGACGGGCGGGCGTGGGAACTGGCGCGGGACCCGTGAGACCCGTGAGACATGTGAGACCCGTGGGATGGCGAGCGCGCCAGAGGTGCCAAGGAGCCCCGGGACCGGGAAGGGCTCAGCCCGCCGGAGCCGGAGCCGGGCCGTGACGTGTGCGACGTGCCCGCCCAGGTCGCTGTCTTTCGCAGCTCTGGCTTCGCCTGGCACGAAAACAAAACTCACTTCAAACAAGGCCCCGTCCCATTGAACTGGTGAGTTTGCAGAGTTTCGAAGGCTGAGAAGGCAGGCTATGGCCAATGACCAAGCCTGGCTCTTGGTGCCCGCGTTCGAGACGTCGCGCACGCTCTGCACGCTCTGCACGCTCTGGGTGTTCCCGTGCGCATTCGGGGCGTGAGGACTCGCCATTGCCTTCCGCCCGCCTGCATCCAAAATGTTTTTACAGCTCGGCTTTGCCCTTTGCTGAAAATCTGTTCATGACGCCCGCCTGCCAAGCTTCTCAGCGTGCCTTCAGATGACTTTTGCGAGGTCGAGCTGGAGCTGCCAGACAGGGTGGAGCTTTCCTCTGGCAGGCTCGGTGAACTGATGAGCGTTGGCAAAGAGTCAAACAAAAAAAACGTGTGACTACTTTCGCAACATTGTCGAAACGCACAGAATACACTTCCGCATTCCGTCGTTAGCACGTAAAGTGGCATCACAGCGGCTCCGGCTCAAAAACACTTAACTTGCCGGTACAAGTGTATCACACTTCGCAGCGCCATTCCCAAAATAAGCAAAGTAGGGAAACTATAGGTCAAAAGATTCTTGTCGGTACGAGCAAAGCAAGCAACACACACACAGCTAGCTCGCAAATCGCCGAGTCTTCCGCAGCTCCAGCTGAAAAAAGCGAAACTGTTTTAGCTTGTGCACAAGTGTACTGCACAAAATACACTTCGGCAGCTCCAGTGCTTCCTCTTCCGTATCGTTTTGCAAGAGTTTTGATATTTAACATGCCTGGGTTTGCTTGTGCCCCATCCTGCACGGCAAAAACCGGGATTCGTCTCTCAGTATACAACCCCTGTACCCTATGCTGATTGAAGCTTCCGAGGTTGTTCGAGCACCAGCCGGCCGCTTGTTCGCTGGCAGGACAACAGGCTCATTGTCCTCCTCCTCATTCTCCTCCTGCTCACGCAAACGCCAAACTGCACAGCAGGTTAGGAAACATCCTTTCTTTTCTCGTTCAAAAGAATGTGCACCTTCAAGCCACACTTCGAGGACAGTCGCGCATCTTCCCAACCCAGCCCGCTTATCCTCTGAAACTCGCACATGACTCACGGCCTCTGCGGCGATGTGTTGGACCCGTGCCGGAGAGGCGGGCGAAGACGGCCGGTCCTCAATGTTCAGGTCAAGCTCTTGAGGAAGCTTAGCAAGCGTAGTTCAGAAAAAGCTCGAAAGTTCTTTGTGCCAGGTTTCTGGGAGGTCCATCATCTGTGGCTCTGCCAGCGGGAGGTTCACCGAGCCCTGCTCTGCCTCCCGAAGTCGCGCACACGGCTTTCTCGTGTGCCTTTGGGTATCGAAGCCCATCGAAGTGTTTGGCTTTGCTTCCTTGCTGGCGCCGCCTGTGGCCGTGTGATCTGCCCCTCCTGCACGAGCGGATTCACAGTTTCCGGCCAACTGGTGAGGTACCTTCAACCATGAGAGCCCCTTCTGCGTCTAACGTGTCCAAAACATCAAAGCTGCTGGCACTGGCACGAGGACGATTCGCCCCCAGTCCAACAGCTTCTCGAGGTCACGGCGCTCCAAGCAGCCCTGACGCGCCAAACATCGACTGCAGTCCTTCATCCAATGCCATCGATGCGATGCGTCCGATTTCACCCTTTGACCCTTTCGCATCAAAGCCTTGGCACTCTTTGCATCTCTTTGCATCTCTTTGCATCTCTTTGCATCTCCTTGCATCTCTTTGCCATGTGCCTTGGTGGAGAGGCCCCGCTGCTCGCACTCCGCCCGCAACTCCGCCACCGTCTTGCGGCTTGAGGTGTCCTGTCCGCGGCACGGTCAGCTCGTCCGAAGGAACCCGTCCCGGTCCTCGGCTTCGCTGGCGGCGATCCTCGCAAGGCGAATGTCTCGCATGTGCTTTGGTCGAATCCCTGCCTTGAGCTCTCGGAGATTTCAGCTGCCTCTCTGGTGCAACAATGGCTCTCATTGACTATGGCTCACCCTTTGCAGGTTCTCACTTCTGCTCTTTCTGACAACACACACATGCCTGCTTTGCTAACTTGGATATAAATGTCTGCCACTGGCAATGGTTGGCTGCATGTGCGTAGTTTCATCCCTCGCGCATCTTCATATTGGAAAGATCTGGGCACGTGTGCTCCCGCAACGATGCAACGCTGCTCGGCCTCTGTCCAGTTGCAGTTGTCTGGCAGTCTGCCGGTCGTATGAGCCCGCGAGTACCTGGCATCAACCATCACAACAGCAATGACAGTCCGCATCGTCCCTTGTCTCCCGCATTCATTTGTTTGTTTGTTTGGATCCTTTTGCGCACTCGGGAGGCCGTGTCTCGCTCTTCTCCTCCCAAGCCTCGCTCTTTTCCTTCGGCCCCACCTTCTTCGCCTGGGATTCCGGGCCCCAAGGAAGCCCCGAGCTCTGAGCTCTGAGGCTCTGAGGCTGAGACGGAGCGGCAGGACACCAGGCCCAGCAGGCCCAGCAGGCAGCAGCAGCACAGTGTGCCAACGCCGAGGATGGAGGGCAGGAGCATCGACATCCCATCGCCTTGCCGGTGCACAGATCATTGCCAGCACAAAGTCCCAAGGCTACCTGTTTTTGGCTGCTTGAAGTTGAACCTGTGCCAAACACATGGCACCTGGTCTGCCTCTGCCCATCTGCCTTTTGACCCATCTGCCCTCTTGACCGACGCAATCTTCCCCTCACGCCTTCATGCGGCTCTTCAGGCGAATCTGCGGGTAGCGCCTGTGCTTCTTCCTGTGAACAGAAATGCCAGGAAATCTGCCAGACTGATTTCCGAATCGGTGTTTCCTGTAAGGAGCCCGTGTTTGCTTCTTTTTTGAGAGAAACACAAGTAATCCCAGCATGAAATGGAAGGGCAAGCTGCGAAAACAGAGGCAAGCCGCAAAAACACCCAAGTAGTCATGCCATGCCAGCGAGCAATTGATTGGCCGGGCCTGAACGACGGACATCACGCACTGACATGCGCGCTCTGCGCCCGGCTTGGTCTCACTGCAGCCGTCTGCTTGGTCTGACAGGCAGCTGACCTGCTGTTCAAGCCAAGCCCCTTGTGTCGTGTGTGGAAGTTTCTGACGAGAGACTGACGAGAGAGCGAGCGTCTCTAAAATAAACGCCCACAGCTAAATGGCTTCGGTGAGAAGGAAAGACTTGGGGGAAGTCAAAGCCTGCCTCCCTCTCTTGGATGCCCTGGCCGCTGGGGCAGCCGTCGGACGAGTGGCAAATGGACCAGTTGGAGACCACCCAGCCACACGTAGGCAGCCTGCGAAGCTATCAAGGTGCCCCACAGGCTACAGGCAACTCAGCTGTGCTTCCAACTTGTCCAACTTGTCCGTCTTTGTCAAAGCAACGCAACGTGGCCAGACAACGCAACGTGGCCAGACAGCGAATTAAAAATACAAACACCAACGCCTTGGCCCCGGCCTCTCCAGGCAGGGCTCGGAGACGGAGGGCCTGGGCCCGCTGCAGAAGCCTTCGGCCACACTGCTTGCGAGGTCCGGCAGCTTCGCGCACCACACCTCCCGCCACCTGGCCGGGAGGTAAACGCGTATATACCCGGAACTTGCCCGGACCGCCCAAGACCCGAGGTCCGAATCGACTCCTTTTGGGTCGAAGAGTCGAAGCGGAAAAGATGAGGCGCCTGAGGGGCACGACCACGTTGGTGCAAACTGCGCCGCCTCGCCAGCGGGCTGAGTTTATGAACTATGCACCGTCTTTTGGAAAGGAGCAGCGACCTGATCACAAAGCAAACAACACTGAAGGATGTCTGTATGTGCCTGTGCAGGATGGATTTCTTGGGCTCAGTTCAAGAAAAAGGAGAGGCAGAGCCCGTCAACTTCCCAAGATGGTATTGCAGCATGACCGTGCCTGCACAGGGTCCCCAGCGAGAGGTCACAAACCTGAGATTCCATGGAATGCCGTGTCAGGATACCTCGCAAAAAGGCATGTCAAATGTTCTTGCTGAAATGGACAACTGTTGAGACTCGTCTCCACGGCAATTTCAACCCGTCGGAAGTGTCACCGACACGACTTCAGCCGGCGCAACGCAGACTCCACCCGTGCAGCGGAAGGTGATGTCAAGCGCAAACTCACCTTAGAGCAAACAGCCTCACAATGCCTCAGAGATTGCATCTAACCACTGACACTTCAACAAGCCGCACGTGCAACTCACATCAGCCCTGACGCCTGCCAAACCTCACCCAGACCCAAAGTGCCAAGGCACATTCTCCCGAGGCACAAGCCCATACGCTTCCACCACCTGACAACTCTTGGCCGAAGACTTCCTTTCATGCCCCATCCGAGTGATTTCGAGAAACAAGTTGCCGTCCTTTGCCTGCAGTCTAAGTGCTGGGAATGTGCAAGGGATCCCTTCACATGGCTCATGGCGCGCCTCAGCCAGCGGCAAACGCAGCGGCTGTGGATCGCCCTTCAGAGCGGAGACTGCCGCCAGGGCCTGCCAGCGAAATGGGCGAAAAAGTGTGAAAACGCGAAAACGCGAACAAAATGAACAAAATAAGAAGAGAAGGGAAAAAGAAAACACACAAAGTTGAACTCTTAGAAATCCAAAGCGAGGCGCAACACTGTCTTGCCACTTTCGTTTCGAATCGATCTCAACTGGATTATTGGGAAAAACTGTGTGAAATACCAACGTCAGCTGCAACTATATACATACAAGCAGTACAAGAATATCAAGTACCCAAGTGGCGCAGTGCGCAGCTCAGTGAAGAAACTGCCGGCCTCGCTAACTGTCATGCTGGAACCCAGTGGCAGCAGAATCCTCAGTATGCACTGCGGCCAAAAACAAATCTCGAAACCAGGGAGCTTTTCGAATTCCCAGACAGGTCAGATCTCGCCAAGCCCTGACCTGCATCTTGCCAAGGCGCTGGAACTCTGTCTCCAGTGCTGGCTCCAAAACCGTCATCTGTGCCCGCCGCGCTTCAGCCTTCCAAATGGAAATCGCCAATCGCTTCAACATGACATGTCAGCCCTGCCTGCAGCGCGCGGCCTGGGAAGAACATTGCCTCACGAGCCGAGTCGCGAGCAAGTTGGGCCGCTTGGGCAGGCCAAGCAAACGAACTGCGACGAAATGAAGACCCTTGGGCCCACTTCCCTTCCTTTTCGCACTGCCCCTTTTGACTCCGCTCCAACGCCTCGACGCCTCTAACGCCTCTAACGCCTCTAACGCCTCTAACGCCTCGATCCGTTTCATTTGCCCCTTCTGCCAAGGCGCGGCCACCGCCGCCTTCATGGACACCACCGCCACCGCTCGGGCCTCCAGCTGCAGCACCCCGGCCAGCGCCTCCCCCAGGTCCCGCTCCAGGCCTCGCGAAACCGAACGTCACGTCAACACAGCCCAAGCAGCTTCAGATCCTTGCACCAGCCACGCGCGGCTTGCGCATCAGTCAGTGTTTACTCTGTGGACACCATCCGAAAGCATTCTCAGTCAAGTTGTGCCAACTGGGAACTCCCGCCTGCAGGGGTCTGGTTGGTTCCCACCAAAAGCAAGGTGCTCTGCACAAAGTCAATGGTACTGAGGACTGTTGCCAGCTGCACCGTCAGCGTGGTACTGGTGCTGCTGGTACTGGTGCCAGTGAAGCTACTGCTGCTGCTGCTCCTTAACAGCCCAATACGAGAGGCCAAGTGAAGAATGCCTGTCCCAAAGCTATGACTCACTTGCACCCTTCCGAAGCCCAAGCAGGCCCTCGTTGCGAGCCGAACGCGTGCAACCATGACATGGGCGTGTGGGCAACTGAAACGTGGCTTATGCAGTGCAAGGATCGATGTGGACGTGGAGGTGGCCGACGTGGTCGTGGTGCTGGTGGCGGAGGTGGAGGAAGTGGTACTGGACCTGGTGGAGGTGGTGGTGCTGCTGCGCGTCTCAGTGGTGGAGCTGGAGCTGGTGGAGGAGTGGGTGGTCGAGCTGGTGGTCAGCGACGTGATGGTGGCGCTGGAGGAGCTGGACGTCACGGAGGTGGCTGTCTGCGTGGAGGACGTGGAGCTCGTCCGGGTCTGCGAGCTCGTGGAGGACGAGGTCCAGGTGCTGCTGGTGCTGGTCAGCGACGTGGAGCTGGACGTGAGGCTTGTGGTGGACGTCGAGGTCACGGTGCTGTAGGTGGTCGCCTTAGCTCTTTGGACCTCTTTGCACCACCGGAAACCGAAGGGAGATAGGAAACCATAGGAAACCGAAAGCCAAGATTTCCTGCGTGACAGGCGCTGAGGTCCGGGTGAGCGTCACCGTGGCGCTGGTGGAGGAGCTGCTGGAGCTGGAGCTGGTCCGCGTCATCGACGATCTGGTGCTGGTGGTGGCTGTGGAGGTCGTCCTGGTCCAGGTGGAGGAGGAGGTGCGCGTCACCGAGGTCCAAGTTGCAGTGCTCACCGTGGTGCTGGTCACTGTCACGGAGCTCACTGTTGTGGCCTCAAGACTCGAGATGGCCATTGCAAGTGAGATTTCTGAACATGACTGCTGTCACAAGGGACTGCTGACACAAGGTTTGGAGCAGCCATGACCACCCACATACTGCTTCAAACATGTCAGAAAGGGAAACGTTTCTTGCAAAGCGCCTCTGGTGGCCAACGCCTCGAGCCAGCCTTGATACAAGGCGCCGTGGCGGTGCTGGTCGCAGCAGGCACCATGCAGTCGTCCACCCCGTTGCCGTCCTCATCGGGGCCGCCGATGGGCGTAGGGCACTCCTGCGAGAAGCCAGGGCACATGTCTCCAGGGTCCTCTCAAGTTGTTGCCATCCCAAG